AGTTCAGTCGACTGACACGTTTAGGAAAGAGATGGCGGGTGATATTGTCAGTGCAATGTTAGGAGCTTGTTTCGATGAGGATGTTCTTGATAATGAACGCATTCTCTCAACATTGAAGTATGAAGAAGCGTTAAAAATGTACGAAAAAGAAATCCAAGAAGTGCGTGAGGGTCTTAACGAATTACAGGTGAATCCTATCGTCATCGATATTACAAACTTATCTGTTGAAGAACTACTAGAAGAAGTGTTTTATGTCGTACTGGATAGGTACCGTAGGGCTGCTTCAGAATTTACAGACGCTGATCGTGCCGAAGAATTGCAACAGTTCATGACCGAAACAATTCCAACCGCCGAAGGTGAAGGAGGAGGAGGCGATCAAATAAGCGACGACATAATTGCAAAAAATAGGCGATACGGAGATACGTACTATTATTGTCCTGTAACTTTTGCAAAAAAATTTGTACTTCAACGCGGTAAGGAAGAGTTCGCTGCTAAGTTTAAAGATAAAGTATATTTGTGCGCGAACGAAAGCAGCATGAAAGATTTTATTAGATTTCCCAGAAAGTATCTAGTGCAAATTTGTCCCCCCGAGCGGTATCCGCCTCCTAGAATCTGTGTGATAGGCCCCAACTCGGACCTACGAGAGATCGTTTCAAGAAAACTTGCCAAAAACCTAGGTGTACGATATCTCGATTTTAATAAGATTAAAATGGAAGCGATCAGTATGTTTAGTTATACAAGTCTGTTGGTGGACCCAGATAGTGAAGATTTATCAGATACTCTTATTTTCCATTGGTACGATATTTTGTTGGGTACGATCTGGTTCGAGGAACCGTACAAATACGCAGGATTTGTATTGAACGGTTTTCCGGTTAAACCACGCTGCTTGAACTATATGATCTTCTTGAATACCATTCCGGATGTGATCATACATGTAGCGCTGCCTCGGGAAGAGAATTTAAAAAGAGAGTTGGCGAAGAATATGAATGAGTGGAGGCTAGATGCAGAAACACAACGCAAAGAAGATGAGTTAATTAATTCGATGATATTACATGAGTGGGAAACGAAGAGAAACGCCCGTTATAACGAGTTGATGGAGATCAAACGCCAGAATCGTTACTCGAAGAAGATGACGGAAGAACGGATTGAAGCTCCGCCTCTCGAAGATGAAACTGAAACCAACGCTTTCGCCTCTGATACCCAAATAAGTGTCGATTCGGTCATTGAGCAACAAGAACATGACGAAACAATGAGGATTTTGGATGAAGAATTTCCGGAGCCTGTTTTCGAAGAAAGTCAAGAAGCCGAAGAACTCGCTATCGAAAAATATACGGCCGAAATTGAAGGAAAATACGAAAAATTCATGCAACATTACGAGGAATTAAAGAACATAAGTGAAAGTGAAGTCATACCTTTTGTAGAGATCGACGGTACTCTAGAATTGGAAAAAGTCATCCGATACGCTTATATAGCGGGCAACGAACTGAAGTTTCGAGAGAACGCAATCTTTGAACGTTGTTATGACGTGCCTTTAGATACTGCCGAAAAGTTACTCGCCTCAGGGTACTACTTCCGTAGCTTTTTCGGAAGATTATGTCCGGTGCAGTACTATGAGGGTCACAATCCTCTTCACATGTCTATAGGAAACGAACAAAATAATAACGTGTTTCCTCTGATCCATCGCCAATATATCTATTTTTTGCAAGGTAAAAAACAGCGCGCCCAGTTCATCAAAGACCCTTTGAAATACACATCCGTCTCAGATTTTAACTTCCCTCTAATCCCATTACGAGTTGCAGTAATTGGCCCTCCCAAAAGTGGAAAAACGACTTTAGCTAATCGCTTTAAGCGCGATTTAGGTTTCCATTTGGTTAGTAGAGGACAAGCAATTCGACACACTTTGAGCAATCCCTTATGTACGAACTTGATAAATAAGATAGAGAAAGTTTTGCGAAAAGGTGAAACGCTACCAGATGAGATAGTCATGGACTGTGTTCACGTGGCATCGTTCTGTGGAGAGTGTGTGACTCACGGGTTGATCTTTGATGGATTTCCGAATTCTATAAAAGAAATGGAACTTTTGTCTAGATTGGGAATGGTGCCTCATTTGATCTTCGATTTACATATCACTAACAAACAATTAAGCAAACAAGTAGCTGAACCAAATACTAAGTATCCGCAATTTAGTAAACGTTTCGTTCAGCATATTTACAGTAATTGGTCAAAATCGCAAGCGTTCTTTCGAGAGTGGTGCGACAGAGAATATCAGAATATTTACAAAATAAAAGTCGATCGTAGCATTTGGGGAGTATGGAGTCAAGCGAAAGAAGTCACCTTATCTGTGATATTTGAACGCAAACACTATTTCAAACACTTTAATCTAGATTGGCCATTACGTCTTGCCAACATGTTGGTGACGCCGTTAGAGTTCTTAGAACGGCAAAGCCAATACAAGACTTACTGTCCAGTTTGTTTCTTCTACACACATAAGTTAATGAACGGTGGTGATCCACCAGACCGTACTGGCTTGGTCCAATATGGGAAAAAATTCTATTGGCTTTGTGAAGAACACATAGACATCTTTCTAAGAACTCCAGAGCAATTCATCCCTCCCAGTAATGCACTCTTACCATTGGAGCTACCAAAACATGTAGTATGTACAGAAGTACCAGAAAACCCTGTAGAAAACGGTTTCTGCTTGGTGTGTTACCAAAACCACTTTCCTAAGAAAGTTTTACTGCAAGGAACGCAAGACTTCGTTGTGTCGTACAAAGATCGTTATTACATGTTCGATAAACCCAATTGTGTGCATGACTTCATGACTCAACCGGAGGATTTTAGCCATTTGATAATTCATTATAAAGACGATGACATACCTGCTGATGCTTTAGAATATCGCTCTCTTCCAATTCTTGGGATGTTGGAACAGTATCTTTCGAAAAATATCGTCCAAGCTGTGAACAGCGCAAACGTGAATAGACCGATTATTCCTGGTTTGAGTATCGCACAATCGGCGTTGATTTTTGTGGGTTTGAATTTAAAGATCAATAATCCGAACACTAGAAAGATGAAACAGTATCAGAAGGCTATGCAACATTTTAATGAAAGGGCGTCAAATTTGCAGAAGTATTTAGAGATAATGAAAACATACGTGAATCCGATTGTTTACTATGAAGAGCCGGATACCCCGTCATCTACAGAAGTTGAAGTGGATTCGGATGAAGAACAATTTTCTTAGAAAATGTTCTGGTATATTATATAATGTTTTTTACTTAATTTATTTTATGTTCATGGTTCGTGTATATTATAAAGTTTTGTTTTCCTGTCCAGTGTTTCTTTTTACTAGTGATAGCAAAATTAACAATATTAGAATAAATTGGTGTCCATTTATTAAGACATATCTTCCTTTGTCCCTCAAACGCTTTCAATTAAGTCTATTTTCTTAGCTAAATTATTAAAAAATTGTTATGGATGTTGTTTTGCAGTGATGCCTAGTAGTGAAAATACAAAATGGCACTGTTTTTTGATTTCATCAATCAAGTTAACCAAGTTGTTAATAATTTTTTGAAACATCCTGTACAAACAAATTTAAAAATGAAAATATGAAGAGTAAACAACGTTCGCAAAGCATATTTTTTAACATTTATTTATTGCTTACAACTTTTAGGTGTGACGTCATTAATTTTCTAGAGAGGAAGAAGAAACAAGTTTTAATCGTTGTTCTTAAAGTAGTTGTGTGAAAGTTCCAAAAAAGTTTGCTTCCGTTCATGTCACGATAAATTTCAAAAGAGATTTACTTAACAAAATTTGATGATGTTTCTTAATTTTTTCATATTTTCCAACATCTTTTGTGTAGTTGCAACCGTTTTTCCAGAATCGTCAACTTGAAATATGTAAATTTTCAGGATTTTAAAAAAAATTGGTTTTGAAACTGAATATTTCGAAAATATTGATCCAGGACTATAAACATGCTATATTTTTCGAGTCAACACGTTGAGATCTATATTTTAGAATTTTTTGTGAATTTTTACGCAACATCTCCAGCTTAATTTTTCGATACTCTCCCCCTTATGAAATTTTTGACTATTTTTGGACTACCTTCGAAAAATAGTTAAAGGGATTTTTTTCTAAATTCTGACCTCCAGAAATTATTCTAGGCTTCATTTCTTCGAAAATCTTACCGTTTTTCCAACACCGACAATTAGTATATAAGTTTAGGGTTTTCACTATGATTTTTCCAAATTCGACAATATCAAATATGGAAATTTTCAGGATTAAAAAAAATATTCTTCAAACCGAATATTTTTGTGGATTTTTATGCAACATTTCCAAAATCTTACAAAATTTTCGAGCATGCTTCAGCTACCTTGGAAAATTAGTTAAAGAACAATTACAATTAAAAATAATTTCAAACCTACACACATTGGAAAAAATTTTGAGAACCCCTGATATCTTATTCTGAAAGAAACTGATAGTTTTGATCCCTTTGTGTTTTGTTTTAAAAATAATAAAACAAATCAATTTCTTCTAGGCTTCCGGTGTCTTATTTTTGTGAGAATTTGATAAAATATTCGGGACCCCTGGTAAATATTTTGTTTTACAAAGAATTTGAAAATTTTTTGGAAGATCCATGTGCTTTGATTTCGAAAGAATTTGGAAGGTTCCACAATTTTAGTAAAATATTAGTGATCTTTCATCACTTTGATATTTAAATTTGCCATTATTATGAACACAAACAATATTATTTAATTGCTGTATCAAAGTAGACAAACATTTCACATTTGACATTTTATAAAGCTTTCTTTATATATTTATATTTAAATTTTAATTTTTACTCTTTCGCATTAACTGCAGCAAATGAAATTTCAATGTTTCTAATTTCCCAATTTGAGAAGAATCGTCATCCGCAACTCATATGAGTCACATAATTTGTAAAGATTTTTTTTTCGATAAATGTTTATTTTTTTTGCGTGATATTCTCATAGTCTTTTTTCCAGCACGTCGTGTACCCGTCCCTGACGAACGTTTCGACTATCTGTGTGAATACTTCAAGCCAGTAAGGTGAGTTGTCCTCTAATGACCCAAAACTATAAAATTGATACTTTGAAAGTGAGTTTGTTGCGGCGTCAATTTAGGCTAAATGGATAAGTGATTGCCTAACGGTAGTTTAAAATTTTCCGAATATTTTTGAGTGTGTGTCCTAATATTTGTGTAGAGTTCCCACCGTCGTTCCGGCGCCGCTAAATTGGCGGCACCCTTATTAGAGGAGACTACCGCAATTACCTCGATGGACAATACGAACCGACTTGGCCGAGCCATTTGAATATCATCCCAAATTAGAATAGGATTGATGGTCGCTTTTCGGAGAAATGCAAATGGTGTGAAACGCCTTTCGTTTATCAATAAATCGGGAGTATGAGCACATTAGAGCCAATTACGACACATCTTTCGTGCATAACCGATCTAATCGCGTGTCAAAGGCCATAGACCATGATGGAACATTATACGGCAGTTGACGGACCGTCAGTCGACACGAGAAGGATAATTCCTCCGATTACCTTACCCATAAGGACTCGCCTTGTTTCCATTATTTGCCAAAACGACTGTTTCACGAAATTGCTACCCGAAAAATTCAATCGTTTCGAGATTAGGGGTTATTAAAGGCGTCGCCGGCTTCTGCTATTCTGATTCAACAATGGTCTAGACCTGATTGTGTATGTTGAAACGTTTGAGAATTAAAATCGAATTTGGGTTGTCTTTCGATTTTTCGCATTCCATACTTTCGGCCTAATCTGGTTTTAATTGGGTAAATAAAATATGGGCTTAATTGAGGATTAATATGCGGGCGTGGTACTTAGTAAATAAATAAAACTCTAGTAATGACCACTGAACATTACTCCATTAGGAAGGAATTATTTCATTGTGTACCGCAAGCCTTATTTGTAAATGTACGAGTGCTATCTGCGAGATGATCTTGGTTGATGTGTATCTGACTTTTCAAATTATGCGTGAGCTACTTCACGTTCACAAAAATCAGGGTAGGTGTTTTCCTAATCGACCCACGCATGTAATGACCGAGCTTTATGAGTTTAAAGCGTGTAATAGTTATTTGTATTACGAGTCCCGAAAAAACGGGGTAACACCACGAACTGGAACGCTGTTTGGCTTATGAAACAAACAACATACATTATTTGGACGACTGACTCCTTTTATGTTTTCTCGACGTTTCATGACCCTCCCGTAGCATGCTTCTTTATATTTATTTTAAAATGACGTGCCTGTCTTCATCTTAAGTTGTAAGGGTTGTCATAAAAAAAATAAAAGTCCCAGAATCAAATCTTATAATTTTTCGAAAAATGTTCGACCAATTTTTTGATATCACTTTTTCTTTTGTCTTCGATTTCACAATTTTTTGATATCACAATTTGTTGTTTTTTCGTTTTCTTTATATTTTCAAATTTTCCATTTTTTAATGTTTCGGTTTCAGTTTCTCAATTCCAAATTTTTTGTTTCTTAAATTTTTCTATTTTCGATTTTTTAGTTTCTCAAATTCTAGTTTTTCAGTTTTTCGTTTCTTCAATTTTTCAAGTTCTTGATGTTTATTTTTCATTGTCTCGATATTTTTTACTTTCATTTTCTTAATTTTTTATCATAATTTTGTCGTTTTTTCATTCCCTTTATTTTCAGTGTTTCTTTCGAAAAACTGAAAAAAACAAAACTTGAAAAATTTCACATTGAAAAAAATAAAAATTATTCAATCAGAACCTGAACTGAAAAATTGCAAATCGAAAAAGTGAAAAATTAAAAACTAAAAATTCGTGAAATTGCAAATCGAAAAATTACAAAATCTAAAAATTAAAACATCCAAATGTTGGAAGATTGAAACACTGAAAAATTTAGTTACATATCGTAAAATTGAAGAAACAAAAAAATGGAAAATTGAAAAATTGCAAACCGAAAAATCGGAGGAACGAAAAATTGAAAAAACAAAAATTATAAAATCGGAACACTGAAATAAAAATAAAGAAAATAAAAAACCGAAACGAAAAATTGCAAATCGAAAAATTGAAAATTGAAAACATGAAAAAATGCAAATCCAAATACTGAAAATAAAAAAAAAAATAAAAATTGAGAAATCGAATAAATGAAAAAGTTTTAAAATCCAATAATTGAAAAATAGAAAAATTCTAAAAACGTAAAACTGAAAATGTGAAAAATTTTAAAAATTGTGATTATTATTACATATTTAAAACAAAAATTAGAAAAATTGCAAATCAAAAATTGAAGAAACAAAAATTGACAAATCAAGAAACCGAAAAATCTAAAATTGAAAAAACGAACAATTAAATCCAAAAGTTGTAAAATGGAATAATTGAAAAATCCAAAACTTGAAACATTTCACATTGAAAAAAAAAGGCAAGTTCTAAAATCAAACTTTGAAAAACCGAAAAATTGAAGAAATGAAAAATTTATTGAATAATCGAAAAATTAAAAATTTAGAACTCGTGAAATTTCAAATCGAAAATTGCAAAATCTAAAAATTGAAAAATCAAAATTTGGAAAATCGAAAAACAGAAAAATTTTAATAATGAAAACTTGAAACATCGAAAAATTGTCAAAAAAATAAGGAAAATAAAAACCGAAACGAAAAATTGCAAAATCTAAAAATTGAAAGTCAAGTCGGAAAATTGAAAAACTAGAAAATTTGAACTTGAAAACTCGAAAAAATGCAAATCCACGTAGTTGAAAAATGGAGAAATTCAAAAATCGTAAAACTGAAAAAGTGAAAATGTTTTAAAATTTTATTTGTTATTACATATTTAAAATCAAAATTAGAAAAATTGCAAGTCAAAAATTGAAGAAAAAAAAAATTGAAGAACCGAAAAATTAAATCTAAAAGTTGTAAAACGGAATAATTGAAAAGTACAAAAATTAAAAAAATCACATTTGAAAAAAACATGTTAAAAATCAGAACTTTGAAAAACCGAAAATTTGAAAAAATAAAAAACTGGATAATCAAAAACTTAAAAAATTAAAAATTTAAAAGTCTTGAAATTTCAAGTCGAAAAATCGAAAAATCAAAAGAAGGAAAATCGAAAAACTCAAAAGAAGGAAAATCGAAAAACTCAAAAATTTAAAAATGAAACCTCGAAAAGTTACGTATCGTACAATTGAAGAAACAAAAAATGAAAAATTGAAAAATTGCCAATTGAAAAATTAGAAATTGAAAACTTTTGACAAATTTGAATTCGAAAAATTGCAAAATCTAAAAATGTAAAAATTCAAAAGTTGGAAAATTGAAAAACTGAAAAATCGATAAACTAAAAAAGCAAAAAAATGAAAAATTGAACCAAGTCAAAAAAGCTGCAGTAATGTTATTTACGCCACCTTAACTTGATAGAAGTTATTATAAAACTAAAATCGCAATTTTTTGTTTATAATTTTTCAAAGAAGCGGGATTTGTTGGGCTGTACTTCAAGGGCGAGGGAAGTTCTGTCGAAATCACCTTCGATCATTTTTTTATGCTGTCTTTGTTTGACCAGAAATAAATAATACCTACTTAATTATTACTTATATTGTTGCTCCATTTGTATTCTTTAAGCAACGTGTAGTGACGTAATTTTGAAATATTCTGTTGTTATTTTGTTATCGCAGAAAGTCGATTTTGTTGTTTTCTATTTTTCGAAACAACAATTACTATTAAATAATAAAATTTCTAACATTTAATAACCGAGAACTCTCACGGAAATTCCAATAATGTGCGCTAATGCTTACCCTCGAACGAAATTAAAGAAAACATCAATCTGCTGCCGTGACAACTGTGCGTTGATAAAAGCCATATTTCCTCTGAAACTTACCCCGTTTTACGTAATAATAACGTAAATTAAATGTGGTTTGAAAGGCGGGGCGTCGTCGAATGATGGCGCCGACGGCGACGTCGCATTCAATCTTCCTAACAATTTTAAATAAACATAATTTGGGAATTTCAATTAATACACCCATGATTAAAAAGTTTTTTGTCTCTAATCCTGTGGCCATCGGGTCGTTCCACCCGGAGGCGTTCAGCTCGCTTGTCCTATCTTTATGTGAAAATAAATTGCTAAATCGCGACAAATTATAGTCCAGAACTTACAATTACCGCAACCAAGTGGTCCAATTTGTCCTATTTTGTCGAATTTCTATGATTACGGATCGTTTTCATTTCGGCGGTCGAGCTTTAAGCACAATTACTCGCAGTTTTCAATCGACGATTGTCCGGTATCCGTGCCTCGAAATTCGCCCATAAAAATTCTGTTCCTGCGCTTTCAGAGGAACTGATTTAAGACAGTTTTTTGTTCAACGGAATGTATGTATAATAATGATACTCCTTCAGAGCGTAAACGCGTTCCATAAGAATTTTTCCATAAAAAAAATAAAAATTGGGTAGATCCGATTGATGTCCGAACTTCGTTTTCTTCGATTTAAAAAATGTGGTCTGGGAGGAATCGCCGTCCTAAATAATCGCATCTCGCATTTAATGAACGCAGTAACATACATTGTACGCCATTATTTATGGACGTGCCATTAAAGGAGCATATTCTGTAAGTATGTCGGAGGCCAAACATGAAAGCCAATAATCGTTATTTATCCGTCGAGAGCGCAATAAAATTATTGTGATTCGGGCCAGAATTGCCCGGAATGAGCGCGATTTCGTTCAACATTTGAATATCTGGCGTCTTTTTACGGCAGATTGCTCCGCGTTCATCCCCATAAAATAAAATTGGGGAGAAAACGTCAGTAAAACGCCGTGTAGAAAAGCGTCTCTCTCCCGGCCAATCTGCAAGTCTGATGAGGTCAGCAGAGCGGGACACAAAGGATCTTCATTAACTCCGGATCAAAGGGTGCTGATGTAGTCCGTTGTGTGCGAATTCGAAACATGCAGCAATAATGCGCTCGACAAACGCTAATGTTTATACTAGGGTTTAACTATACAAATTTTACTCTGTTGCAGCAAGGTTCCGGCGTTTCTGAACGTGGTGGACATCGCCGGATTGGTTAAGGGGGCGTCGGAAGGACAGGGATTGGGCAATGCGTTCCTAAGCCACATCAGCGCTTGTGACGCCATCTTTCATTTGTGCCGTGAGTAAAACATTGAATAGGTGGCAGAATGTGGTTAACGGCTGAAAACAACGAAGTTGAGGAAAACGTTTACATTTTTTAAATCAAGGATCAGATAGTACCTAGTCGAGCAACAGCTTTAAACATAAAATTCGTTTCGTAGCACCAATCTATTCAAGGTCTCTCAAAGGGTTATCAATGTAATGATGGCTTTTTGCTTCAACGCACAATGAACATTATTATTATTAGACGTAATAAATAAAACAAACGCATAATTAAATGTAATAAACAAATCACGACGATAAAATGACAGTCCTTTGCTACTGTGGTGCCATTCGACATTTAAGTATCAAACATCTTATACATATGTTTTGGTTTTGAATATACAATGGTGATAAATTAAAGCTTCAACTTCATAAAAATAGCCTCAATCTATTTGAAAAATATAAATTTTGGGGCAACTACAACTCTCATAATATAAAACACTTAGTTTTATTGTGTACAGTTATGTAGAATACGAGTTGCTAGAAAATAATTTTAGTTTAAAACTAACATTGTTATGTTGTTTAGAATGATTTCTCCCTTTTATTAAAAATTAGTGACTGATTATTTTGAAATTTGTTAGTTTGTCGAAAAACAAAATTTGTGATTACTTTAAAGATAATGTAAAAGTGTCATCGCCCTAGCAATAAATTTAATTTAATTTTTAATTTAATTATTCGTGCGAAACTCAGTATTTGAGTCCTGTACAATTTATCCGAACACCTTGGTTGGCAAAATTTCAAACAGGTCAAAAGATTATGAATTCTGATATAACAAATAATTTAAAAAAATATTCTAAAATTGATTAGTCATTCAATAAAAATTAAAATATCAAGAAGATATTGCAATTTACCGCGGAGTCTCCCATGTAAAATGAATTGATTAATTATCAGGGGAGCTGTATGGTAGACTGAATATTCCGTTAATGTAATATTGAGATTCTTTTTTTTTGTATAAAAATTGTATATAAAAAAAGCGTACAAAAAAAATTCAGTGATTAATGCCTGAATTTTTCATTATTATTTATAAAATAAATGAAAATGTTATTTATCTAAAGCAATAAAACTAAAATTGAAAATCCTGGTGATGTATAACATTGTAGATAAAACTTATCATATGTTCCTAAAGTCTTAATAGATGACAGCGTCATCGTCAGCAACAAAATAACTATGCACAAGTAAAGAAAAAATAGCAACTTCCAAAAAATTTACAGTTGATTATCAAATTAAGGAAGAAGTAAACTGGTGCTTCAAATAATCAAGTAATTCACATACAAAAAATTGGTCGAAGATTGTTTCGACAGAACTTCCCTCGCGCCTGAAGTACAATGAAACATATCCAGCATTTTCGAAAAATCTGGATGTCTAGGGTGAAAACTCAACATGGAATCATACACCACAAGTAGGTATCTTATTTTATACAATTAAAAACAAATTTACTGTGGCAATTTTTGGAGATGACGTCATCCCATTGGTGGGTGGAGATAATTGTCCAAATTTGGATAGCGTTTTATCATTTACACGACATTCCTAAAATACATACAAAATTTGACACCAATCGGTCCAGTAGTTTCGGAATATATGTCTAATACAAATTGATACAGGCGGCAGACAACAGATTACAGACAGACGGAAACGGGAGAGCTACTTTTTCGTACTCTAGTGGTCATGCAACGTATAAAATTAGCGATTCGTAAGCTAAGAAAGTATAGTAATCGAATCCAACCGGCACCTTGACAGTTTCATGTTTCCTCGACGTTTCACGACACCTAGAGTATGAAAAAAGTGGTACCCCGTTACCGTCTGTCTGTATGTCTGTCTCGATTTTTATTACACAGATAATCTCCGAAACTGCTGTACCGATTGTTGTCAAATTTTGTATGTATATTAGAAATATCATGTAAGTAGATGGTAAAACACTAATCAACTTTTGGCTTGTCATCCCTCCAACAATTTGATGACGTCATCTCAAAATTGTATATAGTAAATAAGTTCTAAATTGTAGAAAATAACATAGTGTTACACGTGTAGTTTATAAATCCGTGTTGAGTTTTTACCCGACACATCTAGATTTTTGGAAAAAAAAATCAGAACTTTATAACAATAATTTGCAATTTAATTTTGAATGTATCTGTTAGTGATAGTTTTTTCGTTCATTTTCTTCAGGTAAATATAAATTTGGTTCCTTCATCCGGGTTGTGGACTTTAGCAATTTTCAGTTTTTTTTTTATTTTACCAACGTTTCGCCTCTATTAGAGATCTTGAGGAAGCCCCAAGTAATAAGGGCGAAACGTTGATAGAATAAAAATACTGTAAAAAAACTGAAAATTGCTCGAGTCCACAATCTAAAACAAAATTTAATTTTGAAGCTGCAATACCGAATGCTTTGAAATCTTCCAGACATTATAAAGGTATCGTTAGCATAAAAATACAATGAGTCTATATTTGTGACTCATTCATATTTTTTAGAATTGCTTATACAGGGTGACTTAAAAAATTAATGAAGAAGGAGTCAGTTTATTTTATTAAATCAGGAACGGCTCGCAAAATCAAATTTTTGAACTTCTCGAAAATGCTATAGATGAATTATTGTACTTCAGAGGCGAGGGAAATTCTATCAAAATAACCTTTGACCATTTTTTGTGGTACTTAAGAATGGACATTTAATTATTAAAAATAGGTGAAGATATCAATTCGTCCTGTAAAAAAAAAACGGGGTATTTAATCTACATAGTAGAGGATTTTAAAAGGATAATTTTTATAATAAATTCAAACGTCGACACTATATTCTACTACAAAATAATAACTTCACAGTCTTCACTAATAAATATCTTTTAATTTCAGGCGTTTTTGAAGATGATGATGTCACGCACGTCGAAGGTGACATCAACCCAGTCAGAGACCTAGACATCATTTCCGAGGAGCTGAGACTGAAAGATGAAGAAACCTTGATGAAGAATCTAGAAAAACTAGAAAGAACGGTGCTTCGAGGCGGCGATAAGAAACTGAAACCCGAATATGTGAGTGCCTACACCTAGTTAATTATTTTTCTGATCCAACAACGATGACGTGTTTAATAAAAGTCAAACATCAACAATGAGTGTAACATGAGGAATGTCGGAGACGCCAACACCTCCGTTTATATGATTACAATACAATGTTAAAGACGGGATAACATCACTGATTTCATCCCGCTGCGTTATGGCGGCTTGCATTCAATCGTAATGAAATCTTGGACCACACAAGTCCCTTGCGCCATTCATTTCCATAATATCGTATCCATTTCTTGTACTTTCCATACCGTAAGTGTAAAGTCATCTCTTCTGGTACATGTTCCTCTGACACGCATCCGCTGTCTTGACATGGCGTTCGATTTTGCTGGAGACGTGTAAAATGCAAATTAGGGCTGCGCCTTTTCGCCGATTCATCTTCCTTTCTTTCTTATCGGTTGCCAGGGAAGGATTAGATGGACAATTTAAAAAAAGTGGCGACTTTTCGCCTCCGATTTAAATTTTAGTACAATTAGTAAAAAAGTAGACAATTTTCAAATTTAAGATGAGCCAGACGAAGTACTCGACTAGCAACTCGAAGTATCACATTTTATCAAGGAAGCCCTTTGATATCTCTTCCACTCTCGCCGTGACCACGCACTATCCATCCCCGTTATAATCCCCTAATTGATTTCGGCCTTATAAAAGTCGTAATTCGATTACGAGGTACAAATGGTTGACAGGTTGCCTCTCGCTGGGCACGGGCCTCGGCAAGGTGGGGCGCCCCCTGCCGGGAGCATCTCGCCGCGAAAGCCGGCGGGCGGTCGCCACCCCACAGGTGTTGCCTTATTAGTTTCATCGGCCCATGGAGGTCGGAGGTCGCAGGCGCTAATCTTTCATTTTTCACTTGTTACAGGACACCCTAAGTAAAATCAAAGGAGTGTTGGTCGACGAAAAGAAACACATACGATTCGGCGACTGGGACGCGAAAGATGTAAGTATAGAATGATTTCTACGATTCATCCGGTAAAAAGTTTATGATAAATCGACTCGTGGGGAATGTGCACGTCATTTTCGACCTGTTAGATGTCTTGCCAACACTGTAAGTGATTCCTGCTGGGCCGAGGAACCCTCTACGAGTGTCAATGCTAGTCGACAAAAAGCGAATCACCAGGTGGTGATAATATTATACCACATTAGCATTGTACGGAGTCATCGTGTTTGTCGCTCGACATGCTGGAGTGGTTGAAATTTCGAGTTTTGATCGGTGATTATGTAATTGAGAGAAGTGATTTATCTGGTCAGGTGTAGGTCGAGGTGGCAGACATCATCACTCACGGTGCGGTAGAATTCAGAGATAAATAATGCAAAAGATGCAGATAATGTTGGTTTTAAAACGGCGCAACACAATGCTGATTCTGCTGATGTCCTGAATTGATATGAAAAAAAAGTAATTTTGACAGAAGTTCCCTCGCCCCTGAAATACAGTCCAACAAATCCCGGTTCTTCGGTGTAATGTTTCAAAAAGTTGTAATTAACTGTCTATCGAGTGGCACTTTTTCCCAAATTTATTGTTGCTAGTTGTGTTGGCACAGATCACTTGCATTTTTGTTTTTAATTTCTTTTTACTTCACGAGCATAAGATAGTATTGTACTCCCAGTTTAAAGTGGTTTTTATGACAAGATAATAAACATTATCACCTCATTATTACCCCATGACGGACAATATGAGTTGAATAACGAAGTACGGCCCTGCAAGGAACCGACCATTTTCTTATTTATGGCAAGGAATTTACTCCATTGTCCCCGTCATTAACTTCGACACAATGGACCTATCATAAAAACCACTTTAAACTGGGAAGACAATATGCATGTATGGCAATTTCATGTTTCCTCGACGTTTCTAAATCTTAGAATATGAAAAAGTAGTTCCTCCGTTTCGTCTATTTGTTCTCTGTGGTCTACTGACGCTTTTTATTACCTTGCAACTACTGATTTAATAGTTGTAAAATTTTAGATATATAGATAATAAAGCGTTGTCTGACTATTCCTACCAAAAATTTGATGACGTCATCTCATTTTTCGACCATCTTCGTCTTTTCGACTAAAACTTTATCCCCAGAAGTTATGTAACTTAAATAACAAACTGTATCAAAAAATATATAAACATTACATATGTTGGTGACTACAACTGGAATCATAATTGGCCTTAACAGGCTTCATTTCGTCGAAAAATTCTAGCACTCTTTCCGAATTGCCAATTGAAATGCAGGAAATTTTAGAATTTGTAAAAAATTTGACGTTCAAAGCAAATATTTCGAAAATTTTGGTCAGGGACCATAAACACGCTGTTTTTAAAATTAGAACGCGAGATCTATATTCCAGAATTTTTTTTATAAATTTTTAAGCCATTTTTCCAAAAGCTCAATTTTTCGGTACCTACATTGTGACATTTTTAATCACTTTTCGTTTGCGTTTTATCATCTACATAAAATTTGGCAACAATCGATCCAGATTATCTGCTTAATAAAAACCCGGACAGACGGAAACGGGAGACCTAATTTTTCGTACTCTAGGGGTCATGAAATGTCTCAAAAACATGAAACCAGCCAGTCGCCCAATGGACTCGATTACAATACTTACGCTTACGCTTGGGATGCAAAAGGAAACCCTTTAAGTGATTCGTTTGTATCTTTTAAGGTTTTAGTTTTTATTTTAACTAGTACGGACATTGTAGTACTTCATTCAAAGCCACAGTAAAGTAAAAACCCGTGTAGTACATAATAATACTCAAAATAACTGACACGAATTTGAGCTTCATAATTCGTTAAGAATAACTTCATTAATTATTATTTATTCCTGAATTTTTTATTACCAGTTCCCAGCAGTAAATTTTTCAGTGCAAAATAAGACGGGCGGGACAAATTTCGTTAGACACTGTAACGATGCTCGTCTGCATTAAATATAATTTCAAGCTTTTACAAAAGATTTACGAGCCGAATTATTACTTATTCATCACAAAGGAGGGTTAAAAGTTGCGATTTGAAAAGGAGGTTGGTAATAAAATCAAAAGGAGTGGCAGCAATAAGTAATTCTCTTAATCAATTTATCCCACCTTTTTTTGTGTTTTTTTATAGATTGAAGTATTGAACAGATACCTCTTTCTTACGTCAAAACCGACGATATACTTAGTGAACCTCTCCGAGAAGGACTACATCAAGAAAAAGAACAAATGGTGAGTAAATTTGTATTTACTTAAATCGCTCCGTAATGAAATCAATATTTTGTGACAGTTAAATCGCTCTAAAAAGCTTTCTATACAAGTTTGTCGGACGTTCCTCAATCGGTTCCCAATTGCCGTCATTCAAGACACCTCTTGTTGTTAAACGCAACATCATCCACTGTAATGGCAACCAAAAGTATCTCTCCAGTTCAGACAATAGACCAACAATGTTCGGCGGCAACATTGGCTTAATTACCAACAATACAGGAGTGCTGAGTATTCGTACTACTCTTGGTCCTATAATGGCCGCTGATTGCTTTGATCTTCACCGCGGACACTATCAATCGCGCTTAATTCACTATTCAATACCGGTAACTCGTGTCACAGAAGACGAGAGGACTTAATTATGACTTAGAATAAAATGTACAGTACAGGGTTACGAATCACTGTAATAATAAAATAACTGGTAACACGGAATTAAATTAATCGTAGCGAAAAACTACAGGGTTTCCCAACAGTCATGCAGTGGATAGATATTCCTCATTTGCTAATTCATTGGAAAAAAGAAATGCAAAAACGTGTAATATTTCATTTCAGTAGTGAAATTTTCGTGTAAACCAGTAATAAATTTATCAAGCTAATTTATAAAAAATGAACGGGAAGTTTATAAAACTATAAATTTCGTTCGTGATTGGTGAAGCAATAATTTATGGATACGTTATCATAGGTATAATTTATCAAAACGCGAGCGAAAATGGAATCATCACATCCGAGTCATGAGTTAAAAAAGTCCAAAAGAAGGTGCTCAATAATCACGGGCTAGGTCCAGCCCCGTGCCCAACCTCTCCCCTATCGCAATGCGGATTTCGTTACGTCCATCACTCCCCATCAATAATTTAAAAGTTTTATTAATTTAGAATCGTGAGAAGCCGCCATCCCTCCACCGTTATTAATAATATCGAACCGAATGCATTATTGAAACGCTAAACAGGCGACTATATTTATATTATTCGAGAGCACATGTTCCCTTTCGTGGAACTTCTTTGTTCGTCCATCACGTAAACCCTTACCGCTTTTTTCTGGTCTGTTCGACAGGTTAATAAAGATCAAAGAATGGGTTGACAAAAATGATCCCGGGGCGCTAATCATCCCATTTTCTGGCGCTTTCGAGCACAAACTGATGGAAGAATACGAAGATCCTTCTCTGCGAAAAAAACACTTGGAGGAGATCGGCGTTGGCAGGTGAGCATCGCATTGTGGCTAAAACGTGTGGCCTATTAGCTCTTTTACGGCAACATACTTTTTAGCCACGGGCCCTAAAACTAGCAACTCTTTTCATACCATCCCCCTAATTGCACATCTTGTCTTATTAGCGGTGATGTATGGCTTTGTTATAGTCGCGATTATCGCCACGCGATGTCGAATCCTCCTCAAAAATTCAACGTATAGAATAAAACAATAATTGATCATCGGGAATAACGAATGTTGATTGAAAGCTGCCTCGGAAATTACGTATAATTTAATCGAAATTTCGTGTTATCGCCCCAAGTGTTGCCCGGCTAAATTATCCTCCTCTTCCATTAAAAATAACGATCAAATGACATATTCATCTGGATCCTGACCACGTCTGGCGGTATCTCGAATATACGTAATGACAGGTTTCGAGAGCCAACGTATCTACGTCTGGTCCTCTCGTGAATCATTCACAAAAACTAAAGGCACAAGTTCGTACGGACATCGTTATTATTATCATCATCATCAGAAGGTGTTTTTTTGCTTGGGTTGTGTGACGTGACGAGCCCCGATTTCAGGGTGGTGCCATTTTCAAACAATAAAATTACCCCGATGATAAAATCGTCTGACGGTAATGAATGGCAAGAGTCGAGGATTTGCAGTGATTGCCATTGTGCCTAAATGTATAAAGGGTTTTGCTGCACGACGGAAAGAAATGGTAATTTCGCTGCCCACGAAAGATCGTCGTAGACAGTGCTTTTAGAACTATAAATTTTGAAAATTTAGCTGACCCTCGGCTTCGCCTCGGGAGAAATGAAATTCATTATATTAGTTTGAATCGTCGGATTTCAGCGTTTTCATTAAATAATGTGACGGATTAAACATAGGAGAAACCTGCCTCTGATGCTATATTTAACTTTGTTACATTACTATACATTGAAGTTTTTTTTTGGGGGGGTAATTTAGTAATTTAAATAAGAAATTATATTGATACTGATAGTAATTCATCAAATTTTCAATACATTTACACTTTTTTTGAAAAAAGATTGGAATCAAAAACTATGAAATGTGCGATCATCGGTAATACTTTTCTTATGATGGCACACCCTAAATTTTTATTAAATATTGTAGCAAACCAAATCAATAAACGTATAAACAAAATGGAAATCATCAAATAATGAAACATCAAAGCAAAACTTAACAAAAAGTGTTATTTACAAAGTTAGCAGATGAATTGCTTGGTTCTTTTGTCGATACACGTGCACACACTGTGATACCAGGAATGACACTCCTGACATGAAATCGCATCTTGTTTTCGACCTAGAGAACACATCATTGTAACATAAACATACAACATTGGCTTCATCGTGATCAATGTCTTCAACTTCTTCATCGTCACTGATATCGTCATTTTCTTCTTCAACCAAAATCTTCTCTTTTGCTTTTCTTGATAACTACTCCCTTTCTTTTTTTGCTGTTTCTTCTACTTCCCTTTTCATTTATCAACGTCTGGCGTGGGATTTATCCTTTTGTGGTAGGTTTTCTAAAGCGTTTCTCTGTCCCAGAGCCTGATTTAGGCAGTTCAACGTCTACGCCTTCTTGATCATTTTGGCATTGATCTTGTTCGGTTAACGGTCTATCAGTTGTGGAAGAGGGTTGGAACATCCACTCTGGAAAGATGTTGTCGTCGAAGGGATATATTCCCGTTTTGGCAAAAGCGTATACTGCATTTGCGGGTGTATCAGCTTTCAAATAAGCTTTAGCAGCTGAGCAGCCACTTGGAAATCTGTGTCGATTCTGCCAGGATTTTGCTTAAGTTAGGTCAGAATTTCTTGGCTATAATAAGTTCCAGTAGACGGTAGGTACAATATGCGGGGAAACAGTGTGGTATCACCTATGTGCGACTACCGTGGCCGTCCAAAAAGACGAGAACCTTGTTTTCATTCGAAGCTTTAGTGTATAATGTACAAAATGTTCCAACCATTGTACAAAATAATCTTTGCTGCCTATTGGAGCGTTGTCCACCAGCTCATTTTCATTCTTCTTCTTGGGAATAAAATTCGCTGACGTTGTAGATATTTTCTGGTGGAAACTTATATTTTTGCATAACCTCATTGAGAGATTTAAAATATACAACGATATTGTCTTTATTGAAGGCTCGTGCAGCCGCGGTATTTTCAGGCCTTCTGAGAGATATCTGTGAATTCCGTTTTAAAAATCCCGGTATCCATTTATTACCAGCTGTTTCTTTTTCTTTTTTAAAAAGGTTTTTTACATTATTGTTACCTTGGATGCGTATTTGACAATCGGCGTGGCTAAAACTCAACAATTTATTTCTCAATAACTGAAATTTACATGACTGATTACACAGCGATTATGTACAAAATAATTCCGACTGGAATGGATTCGACTAGACTTCTCCCATTGTCTGCTCGAAACGCCGCCGTCACCGCTTCTAGACTCGTCTAAAGCATCCATCGCGACCTCCGCTTCCAGGCTTTTTTAGCGAACGCCGTCCGGCCGCCGTCTCTGTATTTTTTCAATTACGGCATAACCCTAAACTGGCACCTGTATTAAATGCAGCACATGTACAGAAAACATGAATTAAATGTGTGCCCCTGGGTTTGGCAAATGTACAAAATTTATTCAAGAGTGACCGACATTTCACTTCTTTTTCTGACTTCCAAAAAACAGCCCGATAGGCACACTGGTTTTTAGTCATTCATGTACCAGTAATGGCAATTTCTTGAACAGGTGATTTGACCGCGAAATTCAAATGGTCCAAAAAATTTGTGGGTATGCAATCATAGGCACCATGTCATCATAGGCAAGTTTCCCTTATACAAAGTCTCATGTGTTATGTGCAGTGTGTAGTTCAAAAAATTTCAAAATCATGGTATTATTGTTACATACTAAATTTATGCTACAGGTTGTTTCAAATTTCACACCACGGAGTTTAATTATTTTCAAAGTACTTAAACATTTGCCCCATTCTGTATTATACCCTGTAATTAAAAATATTACTGAACATTATTTCCACAGTTATTCATACTTAGTGTAATAATTTTTTTTTTTGCAAAGCAAAATAGATTTTGACAAAATTGAAATGTGTTTAATTCAGTTAAACATTAAGACAACAATTTTGATATTTTGTTTTTTTTCCTAGAAATAAAATATTCGGTTCTTTAGTTTTTTTAAACCGGCTATATCGCGTGATACCACCAAGTACATATTTACACTTCGAATAAATAACCCTTATCACATTCTTTACGTGAATATTTATTCACACAATCCTATCAAAAAAACCAATGCAGGCTGCGTTTTATGGAGTGCAATTGAAGAAAAAGCCAAGTCAACTGTCGCATTAAATTATATTATACCTGCAGACGTCCTACACAACAATTATGTTTAAACACCTTCAGTCCGGGGCTGAAAAGAGACAACACTAGAGTCATTTAGTAGATTGGTTGTCGTTTGTTAAAGAGGGCAATTTTGAGAGCGGCGCAGAAAAAGTGAAATGATGTCAAAATAGCGTTTTGATCGTAATGTCTGCGAATAACGCGTGTGTTATTATATTGTCATTTTGAAGGTGCAGCAGGCCAAAATCAGTTCTTGTTTCCATAAAATTTCGAGCACATTTTAGAAATATGCAATTAAAAGCTCATAACAGATCTGAAAAAGAATAAATAGGAGGACCGGGCGTTAAAAAGACGTTATAAAACGGTCCACCACACAAATACCATCTAGTAAATGGGCGGACAATCGAATATGTAGTAAAAACTACGGCATAAACATCGTAATGTGTATTTCATTTTAGTGCGCTGGACAAGATCATCGTCCAAGGCTACAAAGCCCTCCAGCTGGAATACTTCTTCACGTCGGGCCCCGACGAAGTGAAAGCATGGACGATTCAGGTTTGTATTCTTTAATATATTCACGACAGCATATCCAAATTATCCCCCGAATGTCTCTTTATCCCTGCATTGAAAAGTTAACTTGGTCGGCGGGTTCTGAATGCGACGGGAACTACGACAAGTGAAAATAAAAGGCCCATTAAATGACTGGCAAAGCAAACTAAATAAATTACCCTTACCCTAAAATTGTCTTTCGACAATTTGCATAAGAATGCTCCCGAACAGTCGGCAGCGAAAAATGGAAAACGAATGGAATTTGCTAGTGATTTCAGACGTGATGCACGTGGCGAATCGGCGGAAATTTTACCGCTAATTTAGACAATTTGCCGAGCTTGTGGTCGTCATTTTTTCATACACAGAAGAATTTTGAAATGAATTGCTTGTTTGCAAGTAAATTACAGTTTTTATTGGCATGGCCGGCGAAAATAATGAAAACGGAAGCTTATGGGTTGGAATTGAATTACTAGATATAACGTGCTATACAAAAAAAGTCAAATGATTAAATTGTGATCGATGATTAAATGATTTTTTGTTCTCAAATCTTGCTATGTAGACACAGGTACCTAAGGATTGTCGTCAAGAAGTAAAATAATGGATTCCAAGGGATTTAATTAAGACAGTGGGAGTTTATCACGGTCAAATGTAGGGATGGGCAGCATATTTTTCACATAGCGATTATGTCAATAATTTATATAAAATTGCGTTTAACGTTATAGAATTGATAAAACTGAAATTATATTCAATTTCGTTGACGAAATTCTGTGATTAAAAAGTTATTAACGCCTGAGCAAGAACAACTGAAAGTGTTGACTTAACCAAAGTCAAATATAGAAACACAAAAGGATATGATTTGTTTTAGTAAGTTGGAACTAAATATGCATATTGCATACTAGTCGTTCGAAGAATTTATCAGAGCTTACGGCACGTAGCGCCCTCTCTCATCGTTCCGCTTTACTTACAGAAAGGCACCAAAGCGCCACAAGCCGCAGGTCGCATCCACACCGACTTCGAGAAAGGTTTCATCATGGCCGAAGTAATGAAGTTCATCGACTTCAAAGAAGAGGGCTCTGAAGCCTCCTGCAAAGCCGCAGGAAAATATCGACAACAAGGCCGCAACTATGTAGTAGAAGACGGAGATATAATCTTCTTCAAGTTTAACGCTGGTGCAGGTCTGAAGGACGCTAAGAAGAAATGATTAACACTGACTGTGACCATTTGTGTCATGGTTTATTTATATGTCAACATGATTTTTTTCTACTCAAGCTTGCACTGTTAATGCATTTTGTCGATGGATAAGTGTAATTATAATAAATTGATTGTACAGTCTTTGGTATGGTTTTATTTTACGTTATTGGCACCTAGTGTGAGTGGTGGTCGCCGTAGAGCATTTGTAATTGCTTAAATAGGCGCCGCTTGACCCAATTGTAAAAGTCATATTCCTTTGCCAAGATTCGTTGTAGGTGCTTCCGGATTTTCGGTCTGAGCTGCCGAGTTTTTTTACTGGTAAAGGGACCTGAAAGAACATTGTTATTTAAACAATAAGCAAGAAGTGGGCAAACCGACCGATCATTTTCTTTTTGTACACGTTTTGAACCCCTTTGAAAAAATATGGGATTTTATGTTCAAATACGTCCAAAGTTGTGTTCATTTCTTCCAAAACTCCCACCACGGGGTAATATCTCTCCACGTTCCGTTTCGCGGTTTGTAGAGACCATTGGTCGTTCAAACTAAACAAAAAAATTTAACATTTTTTCTACCATCACGTCAACTTCAACAATAGTTTTTAAAACCCCGGAGTTAAATAAATAGTAGGTTCTATAGCACCACAAAAATAATTAACCGATTTTGTTCAGACTAACTTGTTGTGTTATTTATTTCTAAGTGTGTTTCTGGATAAACATACAAAAAAATTACTTATCGTAAAAACAAATATCAAGTATTTTCCAAGGCAAACTTTTAATTAAACAGTGCTATTGTACTACTTATTATTATTCCCTGTAGCTTTCTAACAGCCGGTTGCTTAAGTTGACGCAGTATTTTTTAATGTTTCATATACAGTCGGACTTTCATTAGAACAAGAAAAATAACTAAAAAATAGGAAATAATTAAAATTAAATGTCATAAAAACATTTTATCTTGCAGCAACAGCATCGGTCAATTACTTAGCGTTCTCTGAAAATAAATACTGATACAGTTTCGCATAAATCTTCATATTTCGCATCATGTTTTTTGTGACTTAAAGACTTCATCATACGAAAATCCGACTATATTTAGTTATTATGACTTAAGTCAGTTGTTTATAGCTTACAAACATTTAGGATCGTGTCCACAAAAATACGGAACTGTGAGTTTCTCAGGGTCGAGTCGTGCAGTTGTGCAATTCGACTTCCCTCTGATAAGACAGTAGACAAGATCGTTCTTATCACTCTTATCTTTTTTATGGTAGAATGACCTAAAACAGTGACAGCACGTGGTTTGATAATAATATAAATAGATTTAAAATAGACATAATTATTAACCTCGACAAAGCCTTATCGGCTGGTTCTCTAATTAAATTGATGTATGTCGGTGATTGCTTGTCAAACAGAGTATAATTGACGAAGTACATTTGTCGATCAAAGCTTAATGGCACGGCTTCTTCTCTCATCACTGTGTAAACTCCATCGACAAATTCCTCCTGGAAAAAATCACGTTGATCGGATCGAATCATGAATATTAATGGAGTTTCACCAAAAAGGTGTCAACAGACTGATTGCAGGACAGTAATATCATATCAAGTTCATGGTCAAATCCAAAAGCATTCAAAATCTCACATTCTAATTTTCGCAACTGAATCTTGGGTAATTAGTGCAACCGAAAGGAACAAAAGCGACGTGATTTTGCCCCAGAGAGGCCTCCACTAACGAATAATAATTAAACATACGGTTTAGTTATTGATTTACGTTTATGGGCTATCTTTAAAACAATGAATTATTGTTTACAAGCCTGTTGTAGATTAGAAAATTGTCCTGTTATTGTCGGCAGTACGTCATATTTTTATTTATAGTTTTTAATTTTACCTGCTGATAATTGGAAGCACCAAATAAAATATCAGGGCATTAACATACTGACACAAAATCCATAAATAAATACCTCCGTAATGATGAAATAACAACTAGGACAACTAATTTTCAAATACAAAAGTTTACTTTTTTTTGAAAAGTTTATTTTTTCAGGGAATTTCAATTCAAATATATTTTGAAACAAGAGTTGAATAAAATCACTTTTTACTTACTTATGTCACAATAAAAATAGCAAATAAAATAAAGTATCTCAATACTTATGAGTTACAAACTTTACGTAATGTATCTAATGAAGTTAGGCGATTTTAGTACAAACTAAAAAAATGTTTTCTGATTCCTACCTATCCTTGATGTAGCTAGTTATAGGTTAACCGAGAACTATCTGAACTTCGGTGAACTTTTCCCTCTTTATTGTTATTTACACATTTATTCCGCATTTATATTTAATAACTGGAAACATTTGATATGTGCGCATGAATAGTCAATGAGTAAAGTTTGAAACCGTAACAAATTAAAACCGCATTTACAATTCTTAACTTAAAGATTCCACCAATTTACACTATAAAACGCCTTGTATAAGATAAGAAAGAACTGAAGTGTCACCGTTGGACTATATTTTCCTCAATTCCTGGAAACTTTTTTGTGTAAAATTTTTAAAATGTCGAAGTTCCATTGACTGAATTTGTTCCATCAATCGTTTTCATTCATCACTGATCTCTATTAACATTATTTGGATAATTAAATCTAATGACCGTGCAAGAGAGTTTTTTTTGGCACAGTTTAACTGTATCGAACTTCCAACGTAACTAGAAACTAATAAGACGTTTCTAATTGTTTCATCATCAGCAACTGAAAACAAAAAAATTAAATAAAATCCTTCCTAAAGTCCGTAAATTTCTTTTTAAATTTTGCAAATTTTCAAAATGATTAAAGTCTCCACTCCAGTATATTTCCCTGAATTTTTGAAATTTAATAAACTGAATGATGCAGTCACGTTTCAGAGCAGTATCAGAACAAAATTTACGCTGCAATGAACCATGCTTTTCCAATTTTAGATTTTTCCAATACCAATGCAAATTTAATTCACCAAATAGAACAGTAAACATCTCAAGTTTGCATAACTGAATATGCATCCAACTGTAGCTTCTCGGTTAATTAAACAGATAACTTTATTGTCCCGATTGCACCAAATGCTTACCAATAACCACTGAATCGGGGATAATTTCGCTGCACTTCTTGCAAATTAAATTATGAATCATCCAGGAAGAAAACCTTCGAACTAAATTCCCTCAGCATAGGTCATGAATCAGCATCACACAATAAAGAGCCTGCGGCTAAAGAACCTTCGCCAAATACAACCATCTACATAATACCCGGAAAACTATTTTAAATGCCATTTAACAACATTTAAGCTTTCAGACATCATTTAAATTAATATCGAAAAATTGCAAAAATTTACGATGCGAATTAATTATTACACTTTCCCTCAAATTCGTTGAAACGAAGATGTTTGTCAATTTTTCGAAACGTTCTTTCATAACCGCGTTCTGAGGTCACCCGAGGCAGGACCGGAATAAGAAATGCGATGACCTGCGACAATATATATCACGCACACAGGTAAATTATAGCTTTCTAATTTTTTCCCAAAAGTGTGGGTTGGTACTCATTTAATCAAATATTGGCGCCAAAATGGGTTATGATATAACCGCAGTTAATGATAATCCGACTCTGCCATCAAGGAATGCTGAGATGTCTATTAAATAACGTCATCGTTAAGATTCAAAGTTATTTACTCGAGTTTTTATACAACAACAAGATGTTTAATTATTCGATAAATTTATTTTGACAATATTTGTCCTTGCAGGTGTTGTCCGAGTACCTTAATTAGTTTACAATTTGTACACAAATGGATGAATGGATCAGTTAGGAAAGATTTTTAGTCTAGTTTTGGGTGTACCCGAGGTTCTTGTTTCACAAAATAGTCCTTTTCGTAATTCAAATAACAAAAATGAAATGTGAGATTTAGAAGCGTTTACACTGTTGTATGTATACTTACATACACTGGTGTTCATTTTTTAAATTATTGTTTAAACAGAAAGTAGTGTAATAGTGGTAGCTGCTGTCTGTGCTGCAAAAATGAGAAATGAGAATGTGAGTACCTTATTTAAATTATTTTTCAGCTCTGTTGAAACACCTATAACAAGTGCTTAAAAAACAATGTCGTACCTGTTCGATTTTGTCGAGCTTTCCCATAGTACCACCCTTCAACCTCACATGCCTATAACTGTTCGGTCCTTGCATTTTTTGCAACAAAAAAATCAGGACTTCTGCTCCACAGTTCGGAACTTGATTCAAAAACAACACAAATTTATTAATCTCGTCCATTTTGCCCAACTGTGCTAAAGACTTTGTCACATGTTTCACCGGTAGTACCGAAATCGACATTTCCGTTGTTCTCACCGTAGTCCTAACATAATACACTTTAACGTGATGATTCTTCATGAAAAGGAAAGAGCCACTAAACATCACCATGATTAAAACTGGTATAAGCAGCCACTGTTGTCTTAATTTGCGATACATCTCGTTAAGAACTTAAACACCTGAGATGCGTTAATGTCAGTGGGTCGGTGAGTACTGGGCATCTTTAAATAAAGGTGAAAGGTAAGTTTGAAGTCCAAGTACTCCCGCCAGAAAATCATTGATTGTTGATATACAAAATTCGTGATCGGTGAATGAAAGTGGTCATGTAATATGGTTTAGCAGGATGTTTCTGGACCTAGAGTGACACGGAATGCGTTTTATAATGACGTAATATTTACAAAATTTCGTTTAATGGAAAGATGGGTTGCTTCATAAATCGTGGAATTGCGAGAGACGGTTTTATAATGCTCCCAAGTGTTATAAATTATTAGTTTTGCAATTATTGACGTTTTCACAGGTCCGAAATTGTGTCCATTAATTAGTTCTTGCTCTAGTTAGGTAACTGGGGTGTGTGCGATGTAAGCAATACGTTCACATATTTCATAGGGTTGTCATATGTAACAGTGGGTGACTCACAAAGGGGATTGTTGTTGTTATATGCAGAAAGCAATAACTTTGTAGTAATTCATAGTTGAAATTTTAAAAACGTTGTTTACATAATGTTATGGTTTAACACACGTGACGCTTAAAAAAGTTTTTGACATTTAATACCTAAAAGAGCCTATACCAGGTGTTCAGCCTCACCTATTTTTTTCACATTTTTAAGCAGTGAAATCACTTATATCGTATTTTCAATTTTTTTTCCTTTGCTATAGATATGTCTCTTTGGCTGCAACCAATCAAATTATATTCAAAATCTTGACAAATAACATAATTTCGGAACTGTTGTATACTATTAGTACATACTTTCAAAAATAAGACTATTAAATACAGGTGTGCTAAAAATGAAGTGGCAGTTGAGAAGTACTATTTAAATATGTAAATCAGTGCACTTAAAACATTTTTAAAACATTAATTACGTCACAGTTAACATAAATATTCTGAATATTGGTATACTGTGCTATCTGCAAGAGTTTGATTTTTGCTTTCGACGTCTTGCACATATTGTATGCTCTTTTTCTATTTGCATGCATTTTAATTTTAGACCAGAATTTTAACTTTGGCATAACAGAATAAATAAAATGGTTCCACGGCGGCCATCGACACTAAATTTTATTGATGATATCATGTACAAGAAAAGCGGCAGATCGGATTATTAATTATTGACCTACATAGCCCACCTTTTGGCTCAGTGGCGCCTCGTTTAAAGAAATCGTCTTACTGTTATGCGTTACGTATAATATTTATCACGTCTTCCCACGCTGTCGAAATCTTTAAATGCACAACTGCAAAACGGGAGAATAAAAATCGAAAGTAAGCGTAATCGATAATGCATGTCAAGTGATATTGTGATTTACAGAATTATCGTTACGAAGGTAGTAATGACGAGAAAGTCTGAAAGTGTAAGTAGAATTATGTGTGGCTAATTTAGAAAATATTGGATGCGTTATTAAAAATTTAAAAGGGTCCGATTGTGTGGTTTTTCTATGACCATAACTTTCTCTATTATTAATTTGATTTGAAAGCATACGTAAATGGAAGTGTCTTTTCCTCCATTAAGTGTTTTGAGGACTGCACTTAGTTTGCTTTTGTTTGTTTTCTTAAAACATGAAATAGGTATGAATGCTTTTTTTGCTACAACGACGGTCGGATGCGTACAGGTTTGAAATTAAAATAGTGGAGTGGTGCTTGTGCCAAGTAATTCTCCAGTACTTGTTTCAAGTATTAAATCATTTAATAATGATCATTTTATGTGTGGGATAAACTTGGCAGTGGAACTACACAGATAATCTACAAAAATGTGTGCACGTTTTCTTTTTGTTTTCTATATTTTTCTTATCATTGTTACAATTCAACTACTGTTGTGATCCCAGTGTAGTGGCAACAATCTAAGATGTATCCGGGAAAGAGAGGAAAGAGGAAAAGAAGAGACCCGGTTCATGAATGAGGTTACACATGAATGAGTGGTCAATTAATGATCATTTACATAATTAAAAAAAAAAGATGAAAAAAAAAGTAGAGACGTGACACTGTTTTATGCACTTTCGAAATAAATTCGAAAATTTTATATAAGATTTTATAATAGATATTTTGTTAGCTATTTCAGAGTGTCCGTCATTCAAATCGTGTCAGAAAGTCGGTTGCTCTGGCATTAATTTTGTGGGGAAAAATTTAAATACTTATGTGTAAAGAAATTGGCCAACAGTGAATAATTGCTTGTTAAATTGACTGTTTGTGTACTGCGTGAAATTTAATACGGTTGTGTCGCTTTTATCAGTAAATACTATTCTTAAAATATAATCCCTATACAAAAGGTGATTAAAAGTGTTTGGAGCATGACTTTGCTGCTTTAAAATTTGATACGGCTGTAGTAAAATTTGTTTGGTTTTTACAATATTAACAAATTAGGGTTTAACTTGTACTTAATTTTACACCACAAAATATTACATGATGTAATAACATTAATCTTCATGCATTTTATTATCTGAATCACTCTTGCTTTTTTATATGACTGTAAAACACCCTGTGTATTTTATAATACTTCTTGTCATGAATCATTAACATTAAAAGTTAAAAAATATTGATGCTGACTAGTCTCAGCTTGTTTTGTGTTGTCAAGTACGAACCTAACCCGAACTACAATAAGTTTTTGCAGTCGATAGGTTAAGTAGAGAAGGCATCATGTGTCAAAGTCATATATGTCTAAATAAAAAAAATGTATAACTTGGATGTAGTATACATATGATATTCGCACTCACATTTCCGCTCTTAATGATATACATATTTTTAGTTTTCATTTATGCATTTTTCATTTTTTTTTTCTAATAAGCTTTTCTTTTCATATTTATCATGTTTTGAAATTTTTACCTTTCTTTAAAGTTGTATTCACAATTCAGTATAGTCGCCCACAGGCTCTAACGTTATATGATCGGTGAATAAAATCGGCGTGGGTACAACTCAACAATTTATTTCTTAAAGTGAAATGTACACGACTAACTGCACGTTGATTATGTACAAAATAATTCCGGCGCAACTTGATTGGACTCTGTCTCGACTGAACTGGCTGAATAATAATCGTTCCCGAAGATGGCCTCTTTTTAATACTTCCTTCTAGATGTTCGGTGATCGTGGTCTTTCTGGAATACCCATCGCGAGTTCCACTTCCATGACGATGAGTCATCTTCGCCGTACATACTAGAACCCATAGGCGTCGTACCGGGGCGGGGTATGGGTTTCTTTCGTAACAATATAAACCCGATCGCAAAAATTCAACTTTAGTCTGCAGTATGAAACCTAAACCTCGGATTTATAATAATATCTCTGTTGTGACCTTGTTTGTTGAGGTATTTGACTGCATAACAATGGGACCCTGCCAGATAACGTCAGACCATGTGGAAGACTAAATATTTTGCTTGTCTAAAGGCAGCGTTCTGCTTTTAATTTCATATATTCACCAACACCCTATCTTCGTACAAGAATGTACTCATATATTAAGACAAAGTGACAAATTAAGATTTAGTTTTAGATACTGAAGATGAAAAGATCATGTTTTCATTCAATCCAACGTAGTTAATTCAAGTTATTTAACGTTTTATTTATACTGTGATGGGTTTTGACAGATTACAAACAAAAATGGGTTCGCCCATAATTTCAACAGAACTGGAACCCAAGGAATAATCTAATATTTGTCTGACTGAATCCAATTTCAGTCTATGGGAAACTAAAATTTTGTTGTTTACCTCTATACCTCTATACAGTTCCCACCCACTGTTATAATATCAACCCGTACATTTTTACCCCAAGAACTACCGAAGAAAATCTGTGATTGTGTCTACGGCATGACTTAAGATAGGTTTAAAAAACAGCAATTATCTGAAGTATTTTCTGACTTGTAACTAAGGAAGAACAACGATGTACTTTTTTTTTGGTTTCATTAAAGTTCAAGAACGGTTATCCAAAACCCCTCTATAATCATTTTAAAAGTTCTACGTAACTGTATTATCTAACGGTCCAATTTCAAGTTGGAATTACAATTTTGCAAGTCCCCATTGCCACGAAAGATGCGATGACAGCAGTCGCGAGGACGAATCATATCGCGAATCGCAACAACTGTCATCGAAATTACTATAGCAACGGCACTTGCGATTTCGCAAATCCAACTTGAAATTACCCCCTAACGAGCCAGTTTCAAGTTGGATTTACGATTTCGCAAGTGCCGTTGCTATGGTAATTTCGATGATAGTTGTTGCGATTCGCGTTTGATTCGTCCTTGCGACTGCTGTCATCGCATCTTCCATGCCAACGACGACTTGCGAAATTGTAAATCCAACTTGAAATTGGCCCGTAAGTATATAAATATACAAAGATATTTTCCTGTTGGTGTGTCATTTTTTTTTTCAAATGTCGACTTATTATTTCATTACAACTCTAAACACGCATAAAAAAAAGGGAAATAACACCTTCATCACTAAATAATAATTGTTGGGCGCCTCACTGAGAAATTTCTTCATACGTTTTCTTTTCCAGATAGCCTATCTTATTAAACTTGTGAGATCGTGCTTCACTTTTGAGATGGTAAATTAAAGAGTACGGTTCTTTGAGGACTATACTCTAAAATTATTTTTAACTATACAGAGTGTTTTGTTTTTAAAGCGTAACACAACTTAGTTTCTGTAAATGAAACCCTACATATCTTTACATATTTTGATTAAGTTCCTCTTAGGGTTTACAACCGCAGTTATATTTGAAGTTACGATGCGACGTTGCCACGTTATTCCAATTTTCTTGAAATTTTTTGGCAAGAAATCTGTGCTACAACATTTTGTAGAAAGATAAAGAACAGTACGCTCTGTGTTTGTCGTGGTATAAATGGGATTCAATTTTCATATACAGAGTAGGTACATGATCGTTTTCTCAATTGAGTTTTTGGAGTCAACGTTTCGCACACTTTCGGAAGTGGCATCTTCAGGAGCAGGGTTAAGAAATTAGGAATAAGGCAAAAGAGTACGGTAACTCAGTTAAAGTTTTGGAAATTTCATTCTACCCTATAAAATTTTATTGACGATAACGAGACGGACAGTAGTACAATGGTAAGAAATATTTATGGCTCACACCAGTTCACTCGAAGTTGTCTGAGAACATTTATTAGCAAGTGGTGGTACTCATAAAATAATGGTAATTTCCGTTCATGAGTAACGCTAGCCCCTGTCCGGACCTGGATTATTCTGCTTTCTAACATCTGGGGATTACCGGCACGCGACAAATTAAGTTGTAAATATATCTTGCTATTGTACTACTGTCCGTCTCGTTATTACCTATAAAATTGTATATAGTACAATGAAATTTACAAAACTATACATTGAGTTACCGTGCTCTTTTGCCTTTTGCCTTATTCCTAATTTCTTAACCCTGCTCCTGAAGATGCCATTTACGAAAGTGTACGAAACGTTGAGTTCAAAAACTCAATTAACACGGTCCCAACAAGGAAAACGAGCATGTATTGACTCAGACCGTTGAAGCCTCTGAAATTACATATCGATATTTCAGTTTTTTCAAATAGAACATCCTATGTTTTATTACCGCATCTTATTTTATTTTTGATTCTCTTTCTTCTTTGCTGATATTTTCTACATTTAAAGTTGACAGTTTTTACTTTTCTAAGGGACACATCTATTAGAAGAAGGGCAAAAAATATTGTATGATACATGAATAAAATAACATTCACTTTGAAAAAACTGAAATATCGATATTTGAAAATTGTAAAGTTTTAGATTTTTTCATAAACACTCTGGATATTAATTAAATTTTGATTTAGTTGCTACCACAACACAGCGCGTATCTTTGTTTATTCTTCCACAAAATATTGTAAGACAGACTTTAAAAAGAAGCCCACTGCAACTTTTTTGTGAACCGCTCCATCGAAAAAAAAAATCAAGAAGGTAGGAATAACGTGGCAACGTCACATCGGAATTTCAAAAGTAAACTGTAATTGTGAAGACTAAGAAAAGGTTAATCAAAATATGTAAATATATATAGGGTGTTTCATTATAAAAAAAAAACTAAGTTTTTCTACCTCCAATAATAATTAATGAGATATTGGGAACCGCGCGCTTAGTGACTCACCCTGTACAAGAACTGTTCATTGAGTCTAATTAATTCGGTACACGTCACTCTTTTCTTCATTTCTCAAGCGTTTGAAATTTTTTATCATAGTTACCAGTTAGTTATCTTTCGACTTTTCGACAACAAGTTAAAAACATACAGTTTAAGTTTCTTCCTGTGGGATATGAATAGATTCTTTTCAATTTTTTTATTTGTCATAGTATTTAACCTTCTCTGCACTAATTCATAATTTAAATTTGTCGTTTTAGTGGATATGTTAGATATGAATAATTTTTAAATAGATACATTTTAAACCGCTTTTCTTGTGAAGCCTTATTTGTAATATAATAAATACACTTAAGCATGTAATTTACAACTATCGATGACAAATAAATGTTTTGTCGGTAGCCTGTTTTGCTCTTTTGCTGGTCATTTGGATTATTCACACCTTCCCTATTGGGAAACCGTAATTAAGGGGGCATTATAAAATAGCAAGAAGGGCAGGTAAAGCTTTGATCCTTGGGAATACTCTCGCCAAGTGCCAAGGAATATAATAGTTTTACGACTTTGACTCCACTATTCTTGTCAACGAATAATACAGGTTATTAGACGCAGATTTATGACACCATTCCTAACCCACATTGCAGCTCTTTGTTATATTTAGTTGCCACGCTTCTTCTTCTAAACACAACGGGCTTATCTTTAATTTAAAATGCTGTAGGCAAATAAGGGCTTGGAAAAGTCAAAATTATAAAACCACTATATTCCATACTTGAAACACTGCACCAACTGATTTTGAAAACCCAAAGATGATTATCGATACAATGATATTTAAATAAATAAAACTTTTTTTTCATGATAAGATTTTACATAATAATTTTGAAGCAAAATGACTGGATAATCTGAAATTCAGAAACATGAAATACATTAACAACGTACTCTAAAAAGCAAAAAAACTGATTAAAAGTACGATATTTTAACTAGTGATTGCATTTAAATATTTGTCTTTTTTTTGATAATTTGTACATCCTGTATAAACAGTGAATGGTTCTTTAAACAAAATAACAATCACTAGTTAAATTAATAATTTCCAAAGGTAGGTATTTTGCGAAACATTTCAGGTCGACCGTTTTTTTGCCGGTCAGTATATGTATTTAAAAATGTGGATTTTTTTTTACCTCAAAATTGATTAACAGTACAGTACAACAGTAATATTTCAAAATTTACAGTAATTTTGTGGAAAAAATAAAAGCTTAAGATGAAAATGGTATAACGAAAAAATTACAAAGATACAGCTGGTTTCACCAAAAAACGGGACAAGATGAGCAAATCAGGTTCTCATAGAATCATAGATCAATGAAAAGCAATGGGAATATGACGTTCATGTCACTGTCATTTGCCTCGTTTTTTTTTTTTAAACCAGCTGTATATAGATTTTAATTTAAAATCAAATTAAAAGATATTATTAATATTTAAACAAAAAATATTTTCGTTTATTATAATTTAAAACTAAAAGATAATACACATAATTATTGCGTTTGCTGCAGTTTTTCAAGGAATGTGGATAAATGTATATATGTATACGAATATTCCAAACTCTAAAGCTTACCGGGTACCGGCTTATCAGGTGTTTATAATACCTTCTTAATTATGGGCTTTATGGGTCCCCGACAGGGAACGTGCGAATAATCCAAATTTTGACTGACAAAAATCCATATACACAACAGACGAATTAAAACTCACAGGACAACGAAAATTTACTAAAATTACGAAATCTAATTCGATATATGTACTTAAAGTGATAAATAAATACTAAAAAAAATAATAAAAATTCGTCTATATTTATATGCACTCTACAGTCTTTTTTCAATCAATAACTTAACTGCGTATACATTTTCTAAAACCCACTTTTGTTATCAATATGTGTCTAGTGGTTTCTTAGAAACAGTGTTTATTGTTTACGCCACATTAAACTAATTACATTATCAACAATTAATATTCCGCGATAATGTCACCTACAAAATGTAACCCAATCGCACAACAAACGCTCATCAAGCACAAAAAATACTATAATTGCACCATTACATAATCAGAGCATTTGGCCGACACCACCATTTCCTTATGAATCTTTGCCAAGTTATTACGAATTAAAAACAAAAACGAGGTCAAGATCCCCAAGGCTTCCCTCTCTCGTATAAAAATAATAACAAAACAATAACAAAAAATCGACCCAAAGTCACCTCATGTCTAATCTTATCACAGTTATCATGAACCGAAACGTCAAATTCAAACTTGCCGCTTGTATCGATCCAACACCCGGCCGGCTGATTTGTCCACGTGAGCATCGGAATATTCCAGACGCAGTTTGTTTATTTTGGTTTCGGTGCGCACAAATCACATAACTCGTCGTGTTTATTATTATTATAAAGAAAAAAGGAAAAATCTCGCGTGCTCAGTGCTCCAAAACCTGCAATGGCAAGTACGTTTGAGAAGTTCAAAGAGTTGGACTTGTCGCGCGAGGAAGTGGAACGCATCGGCGAAGCCTTAAAAAAGGAAGAGTTCAGGAAACTTCTAGTAGATTACGTCGAGGAGGTGCAAAATCCCGAAAACCAAAAGAAATACCAGGAGGAGATAACCGAGTTGGAGCGCGAAAGGGGCGTGGACGTCACCTTCATCAACCCTAACCCAGGTTATGTGATAAAGACGAGTGTTGACGGAAGTAAAAAGTGCTTTATTAATGTGTGCGTCAACGATAATATCCAGAAACCGTCGTCGTCGCCTGCGTGCAAAGAGGGAACGAAAGGGCTCCAGTGGGCTCTGCCCCACTCGTTGACACCTCCGAGGGAAGACATCGACAACAAGGGGGCTCGTTGTGTCGTCTACGACGTAGTTTTCCATCCTGACACCCTTCATTTAGCTTACAAAAATAAAGGGTTTCGCGCGATGGTAAATGCGACCGCTTGTGAGGCCGTGGAGGGTAACTTCGACGTCGCTTTGGACAAGAAGAATCTTAAATTCCCGAAACTACAGTACAAAGGCATGCCTCACTCGAGCGTCGTCCGAAAACCCATTGAAGGTTTCGTCGCCCCCGAAATGGACCAAAACGAGAAAGAGTTGCTCGATAAAATCTACCCACCAGTCGACACCCACAAAAAGAAAGTGAAAAAAACGTCGCGGAAAATCGACGATAAGTCCAACTACACAACACCAAAGTATGTGATAAAACACCGCAGTCACGTTGATATACAAGACTGCGTTGAGGATAAACAAGCAAAGTTGCACGCCGCAATACCTAGAGAACTCATTGTAGAAGTCAACCTCCCCTTGTTGAAGTCCTCGTCTGACATCACGCTGGACGTGACAGAAAAAACCCTACAATTGACCAGTGAGAAACCATCAAAGTACAAACTCAATTTAACCCTACCATATCGAGTCAGTCAGGATAACGGAAACGCGAAATTTGATAAAGACCTTAAAAAACTCATTGTGACTCTTCCTGTGAAACGTACAGTTCCTGATTACGCGCACGATAGCGGCGTGGAGAGTGACCAGGGCTCGCCCACCACCCCCCTATCTGAAGACGACCCGTGTGATAAAGTGTTCAGTGAGAGTGACCATCGGACTAGCTTCCTCGAACCGAACTCTAGTTACGACCTTCCAGAATTCACCTGCCATTTGTTCGAAAACACGCTCGCGTTCACCCTCAACGTGAAAAACGTTGCTGAAAGCTCAATAACCAAACTAGTACAAACATCGTCAATACACGTCAAATTCACTAGCGTTAGTCCAAGTTACTATGAATCGCATTACTCATTTTACGTTAAATTACCATCACAAACCATCGTCGAAGATAGAGTGCAAATAGAAACGTGGGATAATAACGTCATAGTCCAGATACCTTTTTGTGATAACGAATTAGAATACTACTTTTACGGCCTAAACGATCTCGATTTGAAAAAGAAGTTTTTGGAAGAACCTTGTATTTTAAATAGTATTTTGCAAAACCCTATTCCTGAAGAACCAGAAGCTGACGTCGAAGAAAAAACGAGTGAAAGTAGCGACACTGTTGAAGAAAATCGTTCAGAAAATATTACAGAGAAAAGTCGTGCTATCAACATCGCTGGAACGTCTTACGAGTCAAGTGGCGATGAATTAAGTTATAGTTATAGCCCGTCCAAAAGCAGAGGTATCCTGAAACGTTTATCATCGAATAGGCACTTTGTAGGTCGTAGTATTTCAGAATCAAGTTTAGATGATATTGTGTGTTCGTCGCTGGAATCGGCGATCCCCGAAGATGGAGAGATTTCGACGAGTTTGAAGAAAACGGTTCGTTTTAATGACGTTATAATGAGACAGTTGTATAGGTATGTATCATTCATGACTGCTTGAATTATGTTCTAAATTTTATTCTTTATTACAGATCTAATTCCAGTATTCTTGGTCAAAAAAAGAAAAACCAGAGGAAAGCCAGGAATAAAAAGCGTGCTCAAGAAAGACGTCATAGTGAGAGTGAAGCTTCTGAAATTGAAGACAGAAAAGATGACGCACAAGATAAGGGTGATAACGAAAACAATGAAGCTAGTGATACAAAAGATGATGAAGAAAAGAGTGATTATATTACCAGTGATATTTTCGATATGGATATGTCGTTCTAATTTTTTTTTTTTTTGTAGTTTTGCTGTAACTGGATATGTGGTAGGGTTTTTTAATTGTAAACATAATGTACTATATTGTTTCAAAGTTTTTAAAACTTTTTAATGGAAAGAACAAGGGAATGAAATTCAGAAAGCGATTTAGGTTTGTCAAAGTACAATACACACTATTTACATGTCAATGTGATACATTTTTGCTTTATATTTAGTTATTGATGAACATTATCCAGTGATTTTTTAGTTATTTCTACTTTTTCATGTTCCATAGGAATGTACTACACATAATGGTGATTTATTATCAAATAAAATTTCAAATAAAGCTGAAGGCTTTTTAATCGATTTTTGTGAAAAATTATGAAATTAACTGTATAAACTTTGGCCAATTTGAGATGCAAGGAAAATGAAGCGTTTGGTGTCCTTGGTGAATCTTTGCTTTTATGAGGAGTAAATAATATATTCGATCATGTAAACATAGAACAGTTCCTGAATATTAATATAATAGGCAATACAATAAATTTCAGACTCGAAATTTCATGCTTAAAAACTGACAATATAGACAACAAATAATACGAAACGTGCGGATGGTTGCATATACTGTATTCGCAATGAATTAATATCCTTAATTCCATTATAAGTAGTAGAAGTCCCGCTGCTGTAAGACTCATGTTAAATTTTAAGTTTCTATTTTTTTCAATAAGCGTAAAAAAATAAAAGTTCCACAAACTCAAAAAAATAGATATTACATTCTGTTAGTTATTGATGAACGTAAATTTATACATACAGATTGTGAACGATAAAAAGTTTAACAAAAAAATCAAAAATTTTGAAAAACTAATTTTTAATTGACAAAAAAAGCACCAAGTAACCTTTAGTTGTTCGCCCTGTTTAGTAGGTACCAAATTCGTTTTCATTATCACATTATCCGACCTTATTTGTGGTAGATAAATTTTGTCACAGCTTTAATTGTGTTTTTTTTTCTTCTACAATTAGGTTTACCACGTATACTAGGTATGTGTGAATATATTTAGATACAAATCACAAATTTTAAATAATGTTCACATGTACAACTTGAATAACTTAATGTATCTTACACAAGAAATAAATTTTAGGCACAAGTTATGGCTTTTTATTATTGTTCGTTTTGAATTAATTTTTAATACTTTAGAATGACAGAAAACTAATGTCGTTTATTAATAGCTAAAAAGGGCATTACCATATAAATATTAATTAAAATAATTAAAAATTTCATAATAATTCTTTCCATATTTAAATTACCAATGAATAGGTATTTCTTTTTGTTTAACTAATTTAATCAGTTACTAAAGGGTTTTGCTTTGGTTGTGAGCTGAAGACAAACTGAGCTCTTAAGATCATTATGTCGTGAAGTTGGAGTTTTTATTATTGGTAAATCTACAGTTACATTACGTACTGTTCTGTTAGTTTAAAAATTTATTTTTCTCCAGAAATGAGAAACCATTATTTTCAAATCGTGTACACATTTATTTTAGCAAACACGAAAATTTAAATTTTATAGCTGCAACATACAATACACGTGAGTACTGGATAGATGGTAAGATTGACAAGATTTTACCTACATTGTGAAAAACATTCCGTACAATCTGCTCGAAAAAGAAAATAATTACTTCGTCATTTCAGTTAAAATCAAACCGACGTCACATTTAATAACATAATTAATATTTATTTGCTTTATAAAGCAGTAGCTGATTGGTTGGTGCACCCTCCATTCGAACCAATTAGCTTAAGGTGAACCACTAAATGAGAATTTATTCGTTGTAATTAAAACAGCAGAAACATTGGCACTGTAGCTGCCATAAGAAAAATATACTATTATTAACACGTATCATTTATCCATTTATACTTTGCTCTCCTATTACAAACGTTTTTAATGAAATTTTATGTGTTATGTGAGCTTTATTGGGTGTTTTTCCACCCGTAATAAAATTTTCTTGTTGCGCCTTTAATTTCATTATTCATTTCTCACTTAAGCTTTATTTAGTCGACTAATTAATGAATACCTGGCTACAGGAACTTCCGTCTGATTAGCTACACCCCTTAAATAACTACAGTGACGTTATTTGGAGCATATTATTAGAAATTTTAGTGACCATTATCAGAAAACGAACCATTTTATTGTCAAATTCGTTATGGGGTAAATTTAATTTAAAAATACCACCGCCCTCAACCGTCATGTTAATAATTGATTAAAATTCAATTGCAAAATACCGTGAAACGAATTAATGAGAAGCCAGTAAACTAAAACAATAATTTTATTAACCTACAACAAACAAAATTATTTATTAATAATGTCGTAATGAAAATCACTGTGTTTGGTTACTTATTAACTTTAAACTCATTACTATAATACAAACTGTCGCAACCAATTTTGCAACTACAAATTAACTTAAAAATGTTGCACTTTGTAGGACAAATAATACGAATTTGATTTTACCTCGTCCCGGTATTATTTTATACCTTCCAAAAATTAAAACTAAAATACGCACATGACCTCAGACACTATTATCTTTAAATAAACATATTGCTTCAGCTTGTTTGCCTTGTTATATTTGTTCAAACGCATCTTCAAGCCATTATCGACTTTTCTCCCTCTGTTTAAAAATCTACTTTGAATTTATTCACTGTCGTGTATGTTATCCCAGGATTATTAATCGATCAGTAAACATATGCACACTTTGAACATCAAACGTTCGTTATTTTTCAGCAAACTGTCTTCTCACGAAATATCCAATCTCGTCTGAAAAAATGCAAATGAACCACGGGAATACATTATAAAGGGCACCAAAATAAAATTACGACCGTTCTATTATTACTATGCAAAGTGGGAAGACTGTTAACCCCCAAGACCGAATCATGTGCAGGAAGTGGAAAATCTTGCTAGCTCCCAACTGTGTGCCATAACTAATTAGTAGTTTACAAGTTAGCGATTCTCTTCGGACATATTTCACCCTTCAGCTTTTCAATTAAAGCGAAATAAGAGTGGTAATTAAAACTTGTTTGGGATTGGGACGAGCTGACAAGCGTGATACGTAAATTTCATTCTCCATAGCCGTTTCGCGAATTTAATTAGAGTGAAATTATTGTTTTTTGTGTTTCTTGTGGCGTTTTGTTCCTATTATATACCTGTCTTGTCGAGGGCTTCATCTCAGTGCTTAAATCTGCAGAAACTTGGTCTTTCAAGTAGGTTTTGAAGTTTTTAAGTTCACATATTGCGATACTTGGAAGTCTTATCACTTCTGAATTTTATTGCAGTTTTATAGTAGAGTTGTACGATATTTATGTTCTACGATTTATTTTATTATTATTGCTCTATAGCTTCCGCACTTGACATGGCGCTTCAGAGAGAGCATACTGTTCACCAGTTTAATAAGCGTTTTACTTATTAACAATAGAAACAGTGAAAGTTTACACTTCACTCATTATATTTGTCAAGAGATTAAATTATCTAAAAGACGACGTAACCATTAATAATTGTATAAATTGGGATAATTCCAAAGTTGAAAGGGTCTGAAGCGAAACTTTCCAGGATTCTCAACTCGCCAGGGCCAACAACCTCAATTAGGGTTTGATAAATTTTCTTTTAGTTGCAGCTGCTGTACCTAATGCATGTTTCAATCCTATTATTGCAACATTAGAACGTTTTTTTTTTGCCTTTTTCATTTTTGCTGTTGTAATATAGATTCTGACGTAAGATAGATATTATTTGCTTTGTTTACCTTAATGCATTACTCAGTGAAACTAATTTCATACGGTTTGTAATATTAGATCTGTAGGTATACAATGCTGCCGTGATGTCGGTATTTTGGATTCTAATTGTACTAAGTGTAATAATCTAATAATTGCCAAGTTTCGTGAATGCATTTGCGCATTTTCGCGGCAAAACAACAAAGTTGAATAATTAGGTGCACTGTAAGGGCGATACTCGGAAATGAGTCTGTTCCAAGTGTTAATAACACGAAATCTGCTGTTCAAGAGAGAGAATACTGTTGTTAAATTGTTACGTGGTTACCTATGCTTTGAATACGGTTTTGTTTTGTAACGTCTTGAATAATTAGTATCCAGATTTAGTACAGCAATACTCGCTTTAGTTCCGTATATTTTTTTTTAATTTATTTGTGTGCTTTCACTTTATATAGTTTTTCACATTTTTGTGTCATATAATTTCGACTTTACGTTCTTTTTTAGTTTTAAACATAGCTTTTCACGAGACTTTCGCTTTTACTTCCAGAGGGTTCATTTAACGACTGCTAATTTCGTGTTTTTTCCACATTTTTCGCCTTGTACAATTCAAAAATGTCGATCACTGATTCCATCTGTCTGTTTTTTGGTGATGCAGAAGGTTAAACGCTAATCACATGTTTGTTTATCGGCACGGGAATTTGGTGATGTCATTCCAAAAATATGCTAAGTAAATGCTATTTAAATTTTATAAAGTAATATTCTTTTGTACTTGCGATTTATTAGTCCGTTCTGTTTTTACTTCCTGAGCGTAAGCGAGTCCACTGGACGATTGATTACTTCTATGTTTTCTCAATGTTCGATAACCCCAAGAGTACGAAAAAATAGGTCTCCTGTTTTTCTCGCTCTGTCTGTCTGCCGTCTGTACGGATTTTTATTAGATCAACAATGAAACTACTGGACTGACTGTTGTCCTATTTTTTTTAATGTGTATTAGGAATGTCGAATAGATGGTAAAACGCTAACCAAACATCTCCACCAACAATGGAATGACGTCACCTCGAAAATTTACATCAGTAAATATTATTTCAATTTTATAAAATAGGATACTTTTCACATGTGGTTTATGAATCCGTGTTCAGTTTTTACCTTAGACATACACATTTTTGGGGAAAAATGCAAAACTGAATGCTCTTAAATCTTGCAAACGTTTCAAACTTACAAGAAGCATCATGATAAATCGTTAATCAAAATCTATTCGTTTATGGCCTCTCCGAAGTCATCTTACAATTCTGCTGAATAATTGTTCTTTAAATTTTATAAAATAACATGCTCCTGCATGTGTGACTTATATATCCGTATTGAGTTTTTACCATCCAGATTTTTGGCCAAAAAAAAATCATAATTTTATAACAATATTTTACAATTTAACTTTGAAATTGCAAAAAACCGAATGCTTTGAACGTTTGCAAATATCTTAAGGCTACTGGAAGCATGGCAAATCGTTGATCAAAATTTGTCCGTTACCTTACAAGTTTGCCAAATAAATGTTCTTCAAATTTTTAACTGTTTTGGGGAAAAGAACTGAGTGTGCCTGATTAATCAATCAGTCCTCTTTTTTGCGTTGAGTAGACAAACTCAAATTAAAAAAAAAAGTATAAACATAAACAGTCAAAGTTAAGCATGTACTGAGAAAATGACAATATCTAAATTTATTACCGTTGGTTATCTGCTTTAAATACAGTCGGGGCCAAAAAAACTTCGACATCTGTTATTTGGAAACCTTTGATGTAGTCTATATTATATTGTCACTTTGACGCTTGAAGTTTAAAAGATTTATTACGTCGCATGCGGTGTCAGTATGCCCATAGTGAAAAAAATGTTTTTCACACTTTGTGACAGTGTCAAAGTTAAATTTCGTAAATTCAAATTTTATAAGTTTTGAAAGAAGCAGAATTTTTTTACTTCCCGAGCGTAAGCAAAGGAAGTATTGTAATCAGGTGCATCGGACGAATGGCCACTTTTATGTTTTCTCGACGTTTCATGAGCCCTACAGTACGAAAAAAGTAGTCTCCCGTTTCCGTCTGTCTGTCTGTCTGTATCCATTTTAATTAAACACGTAATCTCCAAACTGCTGAACCGAGTGTAGTCAAATTTTGCATGTATATTATAAATATCATGTAATGGTTAAATGATGACAAACAATTGACTAATCATCCCCACCAACAATTTGATGACGTCATTTCAGTGAATGGTTTTCTAAAATGATTTGAATGTTACACAAAAATATACTCATATACTTGTAGTGTATAAATCTACTTTAAGTTTTTTCGCTAAACGTTCAAATTTTCGCAGAAACATGTGCAAGTTATAATAACGTTTTATTCCCGACACGGTTTGAAAGTTTCCGTGGCACAGTGAGTGTATCATGTAGTTAATTTGTTTCTTATAAAGGTGACACCTATAGTTTCGATGTAATTTTGGCAAATCATTTGAGATGAAAACGCAATATTTCGTGTTCATTTTTTCAAAAAAAAAAAAGTTTCGCCTCTGGTATGGTTGACATACTGAGTTACCGTGCTCTTTTGCCTTATTCTTAACCCTGCTCCTGAAGATGCCACTTACGAAAATGTGCGAAACGTTGAGCACAAAAACTCAATTAAGACGGTTTCAACCCGGAAATGTATTGATTCCGACCGTGGAAGCCTCCGAAATTATGTTTCATTGTATTTCAGGAGCGAGAGAACTTCTGTCGAAACGACTTTCGACCAATTTTTTTTTACTATAGATATACAGTCGTGACCAGAAAATCTTGAACGGCACTGTCATTCTACTGTCACAAACTGTGAAACACCTTTTTAGTTTTTGTCATTTTTAATATTTCCAAAATGATAACACTGGATGCGACGTGGTAATTCTTTCGAATTTTTAACGTCAAAGTGACATGAAAATTTTCTAAATAACAGAAAAATGATGTCCAGGATTTTCTGATCGCAACTGAATATGTATGCAGATTTTTGAAAAAAATCAAAATTTTACAAAAAGATTTGCTAATTTATCTTAGAAAACATAAAACCGACCCCACTTCAAAATTATCGTAAGTATGGTAAATCGCTAACCAAAATTCGGCTTTTTATTCCCTCGAAGGTCTTTACTATGTCATCCACAATATTTTGTTACATAAAACCTACCTAAAGTGTGCAAGATATACAGAGCTACAGATCTGAGTGCATTCATATATCAATCCTCTATATGCAGAATTTTGTAAAAAAAAAATCAAAATCGTACAATAAAATTTTACGATTTGTTTTAGAAATTTCTAAACCACTTGCCTTCAAAATTAGCATATGCTTGAAAGTTATCAACAGTCTGAAACAAAATTTGTCTATCCATCCCTTCCATCCTCTCAACATTTTGATGACGTCACCTATTAATCCACCCATATTCGTGATTTTAATGTGGCCAAAAAATGGTAGTTTTTTTTTTCGAAAAAATTAACACGAAATATTGCGTTTTCATCTCAAATGATTTGCCAAAATTACGTCGAAACAGTAGGTATCCTCAGAAGCAAATTAACTACATGATGAATAAACTCAATATTAGAAACACGAAGATTGCCTGTAGTAAATTAATTCAGATTGGAACTGAAGACAGATTCTCACTAGATGATTTTTTTTTCAAAATGAAAAATACCTATACGTATTATAAAGGACGGTGCGTTGTTGTATTTTAATAACTGTGACAGATGAGTATTAAATGTAAATAATTACCAAGAAAATTTAATATTTTCTTTTTATATTTGTTAAAAGCAAATATATCGACTAGGGAAACTTAAAACGGCCAAAGTGAACACAGAGGGCATTTTTCACGTATTTCTTCTGCCAATTTTAACAAACATGGTTTTATTTAAACTTTGCCGTCGTCGCGGATGTTGACCTTTCAGTATTCATCAGTCAGGTGTAAGTGACATAGATTATTCCTTCGCCCGTCTGTGCGCAAACCCTTAATAAAACGGGAAACCCTTTCTCATATCCAAATCCTGCCAACGCACTAAATTGATTACTGTGATTAATTAGCAAGCAGACTTTATTAAAAGACGATTGATCTCCGACGTTGATCCTCGACCAAAATTGAATGAAACTTATCGCTGTAGACTCAAGATCCCCCTAAAGACTTCCCGAAAAGATGCATTTTTTTCCGATTGCCAACATTCGATGATCCTTTTAAGAGTCTTTGATCCTCGTCTACAATCAAAGTGTAAAGACCGCATAAACATGAAAGTGGTAATCTTCACATTACCTACGATAATTTGTATTAAATAGTACGGGAAAATCCGGGAATGGGGACGCTCTCGTATCCTTGCGCAAGCGTATCCCACAGGAGATATTCCCGGGAAACGACAGCTTCACTCGTCGGGAATTGTATCCGCACATTCGTATCGTCGTGCCGTTCCACGAGTCGAACTTTCGCGAGTTCAAAAAGTGGAATTAAAGAAAAAACAAAAATAGTTGACAAAATATACCGCAAAAAAACACGCACAATTTTGAACGAAAGTCGCGCTAAAATGGACTCCCCCTAGACTTGATTAAAATTCTAATTAAGCCATGAACACTTTTTAATTAATAAAACATCGATGTGATGTAGTTTTCGAGAAAACTTTCCAGACGCAGTAAGTAGAAATCTTGACGTTCCACACTGTATACCTGTTGCGCTCGCTTGTATATTACAGATCCGGAACCGATTTTAATCAGGTTTTTTGTTCCGGTTCTTTTAAAAGGGTTGCTTTGACTAAGAAAATTGTAAAGTGTCTGCGTGGCTCGGAAAAGAGTTACATCTCGAATGCTCGTCCTTAAGCAGCTTTAACAACCCTTTATGCTCGCTGGGGATGGGATTTAAATTTTTTTGCAAATATTTGCGCTATTAGTAATCACGGCATTATTAAAATTTAAAAAAAAGGATAACGACCACTTTTTCGGTTTAATCCTTTACCCAGGCTTCGTTATTAACAATATTTATGCATGAAAATAATTTAAAAAAAATTAAAGACTTGATTAATGCCTTCAGGTAAGCCGATTACAATTTTAAAGTAATACTGTGACCGTCTTGCATAATTTCTGCGGAAATGCGTTTCTGGTCGTTCTTTTATTAGCTCGTCGGAAGTAAGCTTCGTTTCAATTCAACTAAACATACCAACTATTTATATTATGTGGTGAAAATAGTTACTTGGCATTTGATGGGCGAGTGTTTGAGTAATTAAGGACTTTAAGGATAATTTACGTAATTGAGAGCTGCTGTAAATTTTGAACGCAATTAAAGTCGGATCTAGTCCCTTGGCAAAACTTGTTGCTTGGTCAGAATTAAATCATTAAAACGGTAAAGTACTTTTGTGTAATCAATGCAGGTAGCTTTAAAAGCTTTTAGTTTATCTGATAAACCGTTCAAAATAAAACCGTGCTGTCCGTTTGCTCTTTAATTATTTACGAACCTATTTATTCATTCGTCGACGCAACAAATTTACATGTATACAGGGTGGCGCGAACAGTGTGAAATGTCTCCCAAGGGATACCATTATTATACATGTACTATTTTCTTACCGGTTAGTTATAAATGTTACAAATGTTAATTATATGACTGAAATGCAATTTGAATAAAAAAAAAATTGGAACAATAGTTTACCAAGAATAAAATATATAGGGTGTCTGAACGTATATATTTGCTTTAAGACAGAAAAACATGTTTTGTGTATTCCATTTTTTCGAGATGTTAAAAAAGGAAATAGTCGCCTTTTCAAAAGCTAAATAAGTATAATACATGTGTCCTTTTCATTTAGATGATAATTTTCAAAAGTGATTTAGAAACGTGCAGATTTACGTTTTGTGTGAAAAATTGGGTATATTTTTTTGAGCTTGAATTCCGAGAAAACAATTGTTAATCTCGAAATCTATTCGACCAATTACCATAACCGGATTATTACTGTTACCGTTCTCGAAAAAGTCAGTGTTATTCGTCCTGTATTTGCAAAGACAGAAAGCAATATTAAATATTATTTAATACTATCTAATTAAATAATTAGAAGAGATCTCATTATGAAACGAAACAGAAGCCACATTTTGTATTGGAAACCAATTTATGCTTTACAAAATACCGTTGTTTTCAAAAATAATTGTCAATTATGAACAAGTGTCGAAATTCACGAATAACACCACTATAATGCGAATGTGGCTTCAGACCGAAAATCGTGGGCGGCGTATGAGTGGGTGGTGTTTTCCCATTTTCGACACAGGTAAGGTACATAATTTTTTGCATTGTGTGACAAAACGTACGAAATTATTATAACAAATATTATATTGGTACTTCATTTATTATTAAATAGCAGGAAGCAAACATTTGTAGACGTCTGTCACTGACTTATAATTAAACTTAATTTCAACCATTTGGCTTTAGAGTATTTTTCAGATCTTTTCCCATCCATTCTAGTTTTCAGAAGATAAATCCTGTTTCCAGTTAACACAACAAAAAAATCTAATTTTTAACGAAAAAAGTTACGAGATTAATAAAGTTATCTTACCTTTAAAGGAACGGCAACACCCGTGAATCTGAAAAAATGGAATAAAAACGTTAAACATTATTTTCTTTCATGCTGGTTAAATATTAATAGAAAAACAATGATAAGTAAACAATAAAGAAGATTTTTTGTGTATGCATTTTATTTTAAGACAATTTTCTTGAATACTCCACAATCCACAGCAGCATTTCAACCCACTGCAAAAGCAACTCAGATTAAGCTCACTATGGAATAAAATAAAATAAGAACTGTCAAGAGGATCCCTCATGATAAGATTGTATTGATGATTTTTAACAAGAATGAATGTCACAATCATATATCATCTACTCGTAAATACTGGTTGCTGAGATCGTAAGGTTTACTAAGATTTTACGATTGCCAATAAAAATTTTATGGTTCATATAAAGCGTTCAATTCGTACTTCCGGTTTTAGCGGATTTTCCTTAGCTACTCTGAGCTTCAAAACGCGTGAATAGAGTTGCCGGTTTCGGTTTTAGATGCTACTTTCAGACCGACATTTTGGTTTTGGGAATACCCTTATTTAACGCACCAACATGAGAAAAAAATGTTAATGAAATAAAAGTTTTTGTGTAAAATTTCTAGGTAACAAATTATCTAATCTAATCTATCTAATAATCTTCAGATAGTGTAAGTACAATTGCTGCTTGGGTTACCGTTTTCCAAAAAAATTGGTTGAAGATTATTTCGACAGAACTTCCCTCGCCCATAAAGTACAGTATATCAAATTCAGCTGTTTCGAAAAAATATAAGATTTGATGTTGCGAATTTTATTTTTTTGATAATCCTTATGAGTTAAAATCAAGATTTGTATGTAATGTAAATTATGTGATGACGTCATCAACGCTTTTGCAGGGACACATATATCAGTTTGGACTGTATTTCCAAATTTTCGGGAAAATGGAGTGAATCGTTGTTGAATATTGATATAATCAATGAAATAACAAAACCATCTAATCAGGTCCGCCATGTATAGTAGCAGAGGTACAACTGAACTGGAAAGCATTTATAAGTACTCGTAATTTAAGACAAATAGGGATAACACTTGTGGAGATTATACACTTGAAACAGAATGAAACAGAGAAGCCGCCCGATGGACTCGATTACTATACTTTCTTAGCTTATGCTCAATAAGTGAAAAATGGGCTCTCAGCAGTAACAACTTGAAGTGTTTATGTTTATACACCGGAAGAATGATTTGAATGAGTTTGTTGTCTCAAAACAGAGGATTGAAATTATTAATGAAGCCACAAACGAACAAAATGTTTTGAATATAATCATTATAATTCTTATTTAATTATTATTAAATAAAGGCGTACGTATTCTCACCTTTTCGAGAAAATCGGGTGACTCGTTCTTAATTTGTTTTTAATTCAATAAAAAATTTAGGGAGTGATTAAGTATATTAGATTTATTTTATCTCATGGAAAAAGAGGGTAGGGTGGTTAGACAGATATATTTTGATAAAAAATTTACTATGCTTGCGATAACCTTGAAACGTCTGCAAGATTTAAAAACATTCGATTTTGCAGTTCCAGATTGAATCAGTAAAATTAACTGACTCGTTAATTTCTTTGTATAAACAAATCTAAAAATATGAGAGCAATGCACTCATCATATTTTCCACATTTGCGATAGGACTGATTAGGAAAAATTTTGAGAATTTTTTGGGGGAATAAACAGATACATTTTGAATAAAAATTTACCATGCTTATGATAAGTTTGAAACATCTGCAATATTTCAAAGCATTCGGTTTTACAGACTCAAAACTAAATTGCAAAATGTTGGTAGTATATATTTTTTTTCCAAAAATCTGGATATTTCTGGTAAAAACTCAACACGGATTCATAAAATACAAGTGTAGAACCATGTTCTTTTATGCAATTTAAAACCCATTTACAATCTACAATTTTGAGGTGACGTCATTTTTGAAGTTTGGTTAGCATTTTACCATCATTCATAATACTCATATAAAATTTCACAACAATCGGTCCAGTAGTTTCGGAGGTTGTCTGTCTAGCAAAAATCCTCACGGACGGCGGACAGACAGACAAACCGACGGAAACGGAAGACCCACTTTATAACTGAACATCTTATTTCTGCAATGCATTTTACTATGAAACTAATACTTTCTAGACACTTATAATTAACTTAATTTTTCTGAACCGAAGTTTTAATAATAACAAACTAACCGAACTTGTTACAAATTCATAAACATTTTAGTATCTTTTAAATTGACGAAATATTATCTGTAATCACTTTGAAAGGGTTTGTTTCCTGAAATTTTCAGAGTGGCATATGATTTAGAAAAAATCTTAATTTTCAAAAAAAAAAATACATATTTATGTATGTTATATACTCTTGACTTTGTACTTTTATGGCAAATTTTTACATTTTTTTATTTAGTTGTGTTAAATCTTGAGGGTTGTAGTCAAATAAAGTATATTGTATATAAAATGTATTTCTTATTCTTATTACGATTCCAGTTAAACTTTAAATAAGAGTTCGACAAGTACTGCCGGAGGATATATTTTTTAAACATATAACTTTCCTTCGGTTTTGGTAGCTACAACTCACGCATTTTTTCCACTTTAAAAATATGGATATTTCTCAGATATTTTATTAAATTTTAGCCGGTAAAATTTATTACACAAACAATCATCGGCGTATATCTGCTTTATGTTTTTAAATATAACCCATAAAAATCAAGGCGAACTAAAACAAATTGAAAACCAAAATCTCCCGTTCTCCGTAAAATCATCCCGAAAAATTAGCAACATATGCGTGCACAGGAGCGGAGGTCCAGTCCTGACCCTTGTCACTCCTGATGTCAACTTTGATGTCTCCAGTGAGTTTGATTTCCGCTTCGTAGGTGGACAAGGTTAGTTTGTGATATCGGAAGTTGTTAGCTTTAAAAATGATTGATTTATCGATGGACCCTGTACATAAGATGGAGTTGTAAGAGAGAGTATAATTTCTTGGGTCTCTTGTGTGTCGTTTCCTCAATGTCGTGCCACCTGGACCCATTTTCACACAAGTTGATACTTTCTCTGCTCGTTTATACGCGGCCATTATTACGCCCTCT